ACAAGAGAGCCGATTTATATGTACATATAAATCGATGCTCCTTTTCTTTGTGTGTGCAAAATGTACCGTTCGACTTGTGTACTTCTTTTATTTTCTCTGGCCGAGCAAGACATGCATAATTGCCGGTTTCTCCTCTGCATCTCGCGTAAAAATCGTGAAGTCGACCGGCGCCACTCGCGAGCGAGTTCCGCGTCTTCGCGCCGTCTGCCGCATTGAAAGAAAGAAAGAATCCCAACTTTCCAGCCGACAAATTGCTCCACACGAGGAAAGCAACCAAGTAGAATTATCGTTTACTTTGCAATTTCCGTTATTTTGAAAAAAATAAATTACGGATTTGCCAAACTAAAATTCCTCATTGACCTTGTGTTAATAAAAATCAGAGTTCCATTAAAAAGAAAATCTGTTCTAGATTTCCAGTAATGTCCTTGCCAAAATGTTGTTCTTTGAAGTTGAGAATAAATTTGAGAGCAATTTTCATAATTTTGACCTCCGGCCGGGGTCGAGAAATGAATATTAATCACGCTCTTAGGTGGACGCTCGCGTGACTCGGAAAATAGTCACCGGGAAAGGAGAGAAGTCGGTCTGTCACGTGACCCGAAAGCGAAAGAGCGCCTTTTGTTTCTCTTTCTTTCTTTTATTTGCATCACCGCATTGGGAAACGCCGCAGATTTTCAGGTGGTGAATGAGAAAATGCAGCTGCGGCGTTTTCGTCACAATTTATAAGAAGAGTGCAACCGACCGACTGACCTTCCATTGGCGATCAAACAGCGGAACACAGGGTTTTACATTTGCTGCACTCGCTCTTGGTGCTCACGCGGTGGATTTAGTTTTATAAATAAAGTGCGCGGCTTAAAATAAATCGCACTCCGCGTGTGTGCGGCGAGTGATGCTCGGCTTTCCACACATCTGCATGTGCATTGAAAATGGGAAAATTACATTATTGAAAAACATCCAGCGTGAATGCAAAATTTGCCCCACATTTCACAATTATGCGGTGCACTCCAGTGCAGCAGCAGCAGCTTGCCCAATGTGAGCGTTTTATTTCAGTCAGTTCGACGTTGAAATGGAGAAGCAAGAAAAAAAAAAAGATGAAAAAACTGTGGTTGGAAAAAGGGACAAGTTTCAGGTTTTTAACATCTCACTCTTGTTGGTTGTAATAATTTTGCTCAATTTTAAAGCCAAAAGAAAAATATGTGTATTGCAAGCCCTTTTTATTATAAAATTTAGTTTAATACTAAAGAGTCTTACACTGAAAGAGTTAAAATAAAAATCAAATTTGATTTAAACAATCTACAGCATTAAAATCAAATGAAATAGTAGTTAAAAAAAATTCAATATTTTATTAAATCATGGAGAAAAAATTGAATAAAATTATTATTCTAGATTCAGAAAAAAATTCATTTAGACTAAAATTTAAAATAAATTTTTGCATTCTGATAAAATTTTATTGTATTAAATCCTTTCCTCGAATTTCAAAGGAAAATGTTCATCTTTACACTATTTTTTTTTCTTTTTAAATTAAAATCAAGTCAAATTTTGCACCTTGATGAAATAACTTTTTTAAGAGAAAGAACCTTCCTTTCTTCTCAACCAGTGGCAAAAAGAAACCAAACATCTTCCATTCAGCGCAGAGACCCACCCAAAAATCGATTGCGGACACATTCAATTACCACATGCTCTCCTCGTCTGGTCAAAACGGGGTCGTCCGATTAATTAGCGGATTGATTGGCTGCACTAGAGCACGTGCTGCGTGGGAAATTTCCTTCGTTCATATAGAAATACACGTGTACGGGCAAAATGCAATAGTATAAAATAATTTCCCATATTATATATGATGAATTTCATACGAGGACGCGCTAAAACTGCCGATCGAAATACAACATGGGTCGATAATTTTTTCAATGATAACCACCTGTCCATAGGTCACCCCCATGTGGTTAAAAAAAATCCCAAAAATTTTTTCGAATTTTTAGAATTTTTTTCCAAAAAACTCAAAATTTGAGTTTTTAATTTTTCTATGAGAGATAAAAACTTCTAAACAACTTTTCTAGACTAATTTTGCAACGCCCGACAACTTTTCAATGCTGACCAAACGTGTACAAACACGTTTAAGGTCACTTTCAGACAAATTTTGACTTTGACTGAAATTTTCGAAATGAACGCCCCCTTGGATTTTTTTGCAGGTATAGGGAAAAATGTAGCCCATCTAATTTTGAATCGATATGGTGATTTCCAAAAATATATTATTTTTTGTTTTTCTTTAATTAAAAGGCGAACAAATAAAAACATTAGATTTTGTGCGTTTCAAGCGCTGAAAATACGCTCATGGTCGGAGTTGGTTTACTTTAATTTTAAAATAATTTTAACAAGAAATAACACACATTTGAAAATTACCATACCGATTTAAAATTAGATGGGCTACAATTTTTCCTATGCCACCAAAAAAATTCAGTTAAAATCAAAATTTGTCTAAAAATGGCCTTGAACGTGTATGTACACGTTTGGTTACTATTGAAAAATTGTTGGAAAACTAAAAATACGTCTAGAAAAGTTATATATCAAAGTAAATTCTTAGCGCGAGAATTAATCGGACGATTGAAGCAAATTCCGAGATTTCACTCCTCACTAGGAAACCCAAAATCTAACGTTATTATTTGTTCGCCTTTTAATTAAAGAAAAACAAAAAATAATATATTTTTGGAAATCACCATATCGATTCAAAATTAGATGGGCTACATTTTTCCCTATACCTGCAAAAAAATCCAAGGGGGCGTTCATTTCGAAAATTTCAGTCAAAGTCAAAATTTGTCTGAAAGTGACCTTAAACGTGTTTGTACACGTTTGGTCAGCATTGAAAAGTTGTCGGGCGTTGCAAAATTAGTCTAGAAAAGTTGTTTAGAAGTTTTTATCTCTCATAGAAAAATTAAAAACTCAAATTTTGAGTTTTTTTGAAAAAAAATTCTAAAAATTCGAAAAAATTTTTGGGATTTTTTTTAACCACATGGGGGTGACCTATGGACAGGTGGTTATCATTGAAAAAATTATCGACCCATGTTGTATTTCGATCGGCAGTTTTAGCGCGTCCTCGTATGAAATTCATCATATACGGATTATCGATTGGCTAAGGAGGGTGCACACGCGGCGGCCCGTGTGCGTCGAAAAACCACCCTTGCTGCTCGCTGGCGGCCGGTGGTAGTATGTACCAGCGCAGGGCTGGCGCTGCACGACCCCCTTTGCGATATATTGATTGGCGCTCGCCCCGTTCAGCCCTCTCTGCATTGCATACGGCACAACATGCCAGCCAAGTTTTAACCAAATTCTATGCAAACGCTCGGATTAAACTTCGATTAATTTGTAATAATTAAAATGGGATTAGGGCGAGTGAATTTCGCCCAAGAATTTCGATTTTTTTTCCTTCCATTTTGGGAAGTGGGCCGACGCAGGGTGGATCGCGAGCGGCCTAAAGTGCGTCGTTAATGCAGAGGACGCGATCTAACAGGTGCCTCCGTGGAAATTCGCGGTTAAGGCGGTGTTGGGCGGTGCCGTTTTTGGGAATTAAGAAAATAAAAATTGATAACATTTTTTCAAGTATTTCCTTATGAAGGGAAAAAAGAAATCGTACATTTACCGACTTAAATATAATGAAGAAAAAAAATAATCAGTTTTAAATCTCTGCCTTCCAGATTTAGGAGGCTTAGGAGATTAATTATTGCGGCATAAAAAAATGACTTATGGAAAATTTCCACCAAATGGAGATCCTAGTGTGTCTAAAAATACACATTTCTCTCTGTTCCGCTCAGCAGGCAATTCCCACAATTACGTCGGATAGAAATAACTAACAAATAACGCGATAGGATTTTCCTGTGGCGTTTGATTGGAATTTATCTTAATCTAGTTTTATTTTTAGTGACGTTGATTAAAAAAATTGCTTTAAATTTTTACTACATTATTATAAAAAGAGAGATTTTCCTTTGCTCTTCAACTACTTTTTTTCATATTATTTATAAATTAATTATTCTTATATTCACTTTTTTAAATTTATCTTCTTTCCAACATAATAAATTTAGAAACTCTCAATTCCATCTTTTACATTATTTATATTATTCCTCCTTCGTAATTCATCAATAAACGATAACTGATACAAAAATTTTTTCCTTAATTTTTGTAAAACCATTTTTTTCAGGAAAGTATCACACAAATTTCTTCCTCTTAGTTTGAGAACGTGACAAAAGGTCGGGCCACATTATTATTTGTAAGGAGCACCTCAGGTATACCGCTTTGGCCGGCTCCTGCTTGCATGGAGATAGTTTTCAGGTTTGCTCGCCCTGTTCAGAGAGCAAACTGTGTATCTCTCGTCGCTCATTGTATTAGTAAGTTGGTTGTGCTCATGAAGGGAGGCAGATGCGGCGTTGCCAAGCCGCGGGCCGCCGACTCCGGAGCAAGCAAGGCTGGCATGTGAAAAAAAAGTAACTCGAGAATAGAAAGAAACAGAGGCAGAGAGCAAGAGCGCAGCCTCTTTCGCGAATATTATTTATCTCGTCTAGACCGTCCTATGCATTTGGAACTTGGAACTATGGATTTCAATCGATGCTGTATAGGCGCGCTAAACCGAACTTTGGCGAAGATGCATCAAGGACTAAAAATAAAATGCTCGAAAGAGAGAAAGAAAAAAAAATAAAGAGCATCGTCGGCTTTTTAAAACTGACCTTTGGAATTTAAATCAACTTTTAAGTGCCAGCAGTAACGAATCTTTCTCTAAATCAAATTTATTTATTTAAGAAATACAAATTTTTTCCATTATGGAATTTAACGTGAATGAAAAGAGTCAATTTTCCCTAAATTCTTAATAAAAATTAATTAAAATCTAATCAAAGCTTTAAAGAAACTTAAAAATATAATACTTTGCTTCATTTTTTTTCATTCTTAAAATAACCACTTTGATTTTTTTCAAAGCCAACCTTGGGTGCAGCAGAAGCAGAAAAACAAGTTCAGGGTCCTACCTTGATTCCGCTGCGTCCCTGCTGCTTGAGCAGCACGTTCTCCGGCTTCATGTCACAGTGGATGATCTTGTTGCGGTGCAGGGCGTCCAGGCACTGCAGAAGCGAGTGCGCAAATTTGCGCACCAGCTGCAGGCTGAAGCCCTGGAACTTGTTCTTCTTGATCAGTTCGTACAAATTGATGGACAAAAGTTCGAATGTGATGCACATGTGCGATCGGAACGTGAAGTTGTCGTACATGTGGATGATGTTCATCGAGTTGTCCTTGTCCTGCTTGCGCAGGTGCTCGAGGATGCGGATCTCCTCCTGCGCCTGCCGGTGGAAGCGTTTCTCGTTGCGTACCATCTTCAGAGCGACGTGCTGGTGCAGTTTGTGGTCGTACGCTTTGACCACCTGGAAAAAATTAAATTTGAAGAATTAGTATCAAATAGAAATCAATGTACATAAATTGGAACAAAATAGGAAGGAAAAGAGTCAAATTTTGGTCTTTTTAAACATTTGGAAGAAAAAAATATTTCCTTGAAGTAGCATTTTGAGAATTTCAACTTTAAAAAATCTTATTTTCACATCTTCAACTATATGTAAAAAAAGGGAAAAATTGAAAATCTAGACCAATTTTCTAAGAAAAAACTTTGAAAATTTGTAAATTTTGAATTGATTTTTTTTTTTTTTTAAATTGTGAATATGAGTCTTTGAAACAAATTCCAAATTTTTTTCAAACTTTGAGTTTCACAGGCACTAATGAAAGGTTTCCAATGTCGCACCTGTCCAAAGCTGCCTTTTCCTATGACCCTGAGGACCTCGTATCTGTAGGCGATGTGGTCGTGAGGGATGTGGATGTACGAGCCCTGCTCGTTGTCGTATCCACAGTTGTTGCCCGAGCCGATGATGCCGGGCCGCTTTTTGGCGTTGGCCCCGATGAAGTAGATCTGTGGGTAGTTGAAGATCTCGTGGTGCTCGTACGGCGTCAGCTTGCTCAGGTACAGTTTGGCCACCTGCTCGGGGGTGGCCACCATTGTCTTGGGCTTGGCGGCCGCCGCGGCGAGTGCGGCCGCCTGCTGATTACTGCTGCCGTTGCTGCTGCTCGTACTGGAGGTGCTGGACGTTTTGACCAGCGGCGGACTGTCCGAACGCATGTTCAGGTTGGGCAGCGACGACGGTTCGACGGAGCCGCCGTTGCGCTCGGGCGGGTTGAGTCGCTCGGCCAACCCTGCGGCGGTTGATGAGGCCGTCTTGAGCAGACCGTTGCTGTCGGCCGAGCCGAGGTGCGGAAGGTACGACTGTCCGGTGCCCGAGTCCGGGTGGTTGCCATTGATGTTGCTGAGCAGCGACCTGGTCCGCGACAGCGGCATTGCTGGTACCATCTGATGGGAGGTTAGAACGGCTGCGTTGCACATTGCCAGGCCCGTCGTCTTTTCTGATCCATCAGCTGCTGAAAAACACCCGCAGTCAGACACACTGCTTGTCGATGGCCAAGCTACCCCTTCGGTCACCTGCCTTCCTTCTTATCCGGTCGGGGTGTGCGCCGGCATTGCGTTGTTATCTCATTCCGTGGACAAGCTGCAGGGCTCTCGTTGCTCCTTCGCTCACCCGATCTCTCTCTCTCACACCAAGCAAGAAGGGCAGCCGACTGAAATCACTCGGACCTGCCGCCCAGCACCAGCAGACTCGCTCGCTTGTGCTGGTCTCCAAGCAAGCTGTTCTTTCACCTCCCCTCGAACGGATTCCGAGACCACGATCGGCCGACCTGTGGGTTGCAGCTACCGCCGCTGCACGTCGCTACCAAGCATAACGGAAAAGGGCAAAATTGAATATTTAATTGCAAGAAAAATGTTTCAAAGGGTTGAAATCGCTCAAAAGCGCGATGCACAGATTGCTTGGATCAGTTTTTCAGTAGCCGTGGCTTTTCATTTAGCTTTTCTGCCCGAAATTTGCTGATTGAAGTCTTAAAATAAAATTAATTTCCAATCTTGCCATGAGATGGCGTGAAAATGGCGAAAGTATGTCATATTAATTTAGCAATGAAAATTGATACTGCTGCAATACCAACGTGACACTTGGAAGTTAAAATTACAATTGACTCGCTTCGGTCTTGCATTGAGGCTATTATTCGAGTACAAAGCACATGCAAAAATAGAAGATTACCTTTGTGTTAGGGGATAAATCTCTATTGAATTCAAGTGTTTCGTCGCTGATGTCTCAATTGTTACGGTTGGCTGCTTTGACGTCACCAATGAAATTGCCCTGCATTGTTTTGTTTACAGTCGCCTGAATTTCGGCCGGTTCGATATCAACAAGCGTAATTTACTTAATGTCAGTTTACAAAACGCATTATCACAGACAGCTCCCTTGCTGTTAAACTAGTTTATTCCTGTCATTTTTTTTAAACTCAGAAGTGTCACCCGCCCAACAAGGTTTAAGCCAAAATGATGCGGAACGGTTTCAAGATTGGCATGCTTCCCATGCGAAATGCAAGTGGGCGGTAAGTAAATTTAGTAAATCTGTCGTTCTGTTATGAGGGCAAAATTCAATGAGTCTTGTTTCAGGCACATGGGCGAGCCCAAATGCCAGAAGTGTCTGCAAAAGGGTCATTGGACGTACGAGTGCCAAAACAAACGAAAAATCCTTGAGCGACCAACAAGGACGGCCCAGCTGAATAAAAGATTGAAGAATCCTAATCAAATCAGCAATACAGAGCAGTTGACAGTGTAAGATTAAAATTAGTTTTTAAGACAATTGTAATTAATATTTTATTGTAACGCCAGGAGCACGCCAGTTGAAACTGAAAAGAAAGATTCTTCGTCTTCTTCAGATTCTGACTCGAGCGACAAAGAATCCAATTCATCAACATCGTCAGACTCTTCACTAAGCTCAGACTCCTCCGACTCAAGCTTAAGCTCAGACTCATCATTATCATCTTCTTCAGAGCGGAAAAAAAGCAAGAAGAAAGACAGATCGGAGCTGTCAAAAAGTGATCACAAGCATAAAAGAAGTCGATCACCTGCACGGAGACAAGCGCGTTCTATAGAGCGACAGCCAGAGAGGGAGATGAGGTCTTCAACTGATAAAGGAGAACGAAGAAACCGTTTGCGAAATGTGAGCTTGGATCTCCCCGAAGAATCAGAGGAGGAAAGTTCTACCCGCATGAGAAGTGTTATTTCGGTGCCCCAGGCTCAGAGCCATAATAAGCAAAAGAGGAATAGGAGCAGCAGTTCGTCATCATCTGAATCTGATTAACTCTGTGTGACCTATGTTCAAGCTCGTTATTGATAAGGAGTTTCAAGTATGACATCAAAGAAGATTTACTAAATTTTGATTACAAATTTGCATCTTTTTTCAATAAATTTTAAGAGTAGCAAACACGATTTGAAGATCTAAATTTAATTCATGGAATTAGAATAATTTTACTTCTAAGATTACAATTCAAATAATATTTTATAATTGTTCTAGTTTGAAAAAATATTTTTACCAAGACTTAGCAGATTGATAAAACTTCCAATCTGTATTTTATCATGTACAATCAATTTTCCAATTTATTAGGTATTTGATTTTAAGAAACAAATTACATCTTAAACCTCGAATAAAATTGCATTTTTTTTCAACAAATTAAACAAATCACTATCAAAGTGTGTGCTGGTTAATAAAACAAGGTACTTATTTAACTTATAGTTGACCGAGTATTGATCAGTTGCATCTTTTATTGGCCGAGATACACTTGGGGTTACAAGAAAGAGATAGAGATAGCTGGGCCTGCAAAATCGGACAAACTTGTCCACTCTAGTGCTAGACAGACGAGCAGAGAGCTGACGCGCCGCGCATGCACGCACGCCTCCCCCAGAGAGTACGACTAAGAAAAATTTACAAACGCCGAGTTGAGCCGATCCCCGAGTTATTTTTTAAATTTCCATAAACGGCATATTCGCCGTGCACAAAAATCACTCAACATGCTCACGCACCCAAAACAATAAAAAAGGGCTCCTTAGATGTGCTTTAAAATCTCCTGAATTCCACCCCCTCCCCTCTTAACTTTATTATTAGTTGTGATGATGGGACTGCTTTTGTGCCTAATTAAAATACTGCGTATAAAAATACCCAACAGGGTTTCAGTTCAAATGCCACAAGGAAGTTTTTGGGCCAATTCAGTACAAGAATTAGTTATAAGTCCAATAGAAATTTCGATCAGTTTCGGAAGCCCATAATTTAGCAAAAACTTCCTCGTCAGCCGAGAGGCTTTTTAATAATTTATCATGTCGGTGTTTATAGTTGACTAAAAAGCGCCATTGTCATTTTATCTACTCTGAGGCTGCGCCACGGCGGATTACAAAAAGTTTCATAGAAGTTACGGGCAACACGACTAGCCGAAAAACTGGCGAGCCTCGTGTACTAACATTTAGAAATGCAAAAGTGGTATCTGCAGGAGATCCAGCAAAATGGCGATTTATGGCACGAATGCATCAAAAAGAGACGCTGCTCCGACTGCTGCACTTGTCTAGTGCAAGAGAGAAACCTCTCGACGAGCAAAAATACAAAAGTCGCCCACTTAAAAAGATCATTTTTTAAAATCTTTGGCATCAATCTAAACAAAATCGCAAGTAAAATTCAATGATTTGTGCGGAGAAGCAGCCCCATCGTGCGAATCGGTCCAAGGAGGTAAAAGCACATCAATCCAAGAAGGAGTTAAGTACAGGAATCACACGTGTTCTCCATACAAAGGGGGGCTCCTCAGCTCCAGAAGATCCAAGGTTGGACGGGGAGGGGCTGCGCAAGCGCTGCGGTGCGACATTCATTGACCACATTGATGACTTAGAACTGACAAATTGTGTTTGTGTGTGTGTGAGTTAAATGTGTGTTTATGTGTGTACGCGTTTTTCTTTTTATCACAAAGTCTACTGAGAGACACTAAACCATGACGAAGGCCTCCTTTCCGCAGAAGAGGAAGGGGAACTGGTCGATCATGGTTTGCACCAGGTCCTCAAGGTGCGGCCGCATCTGCTCAAACTTGCCCATGTCACTGAACTCGTATGGCAACAAGGTTGGCCACCAGCAGATGGCCAGGTTCTTGGTGTCCATGCTGTTCAGCTTGCAGTTTTCAGCCACCCTGATAAATAATTAACCATTGTTAGTAATAGATAAATAAATCATAAATGATGTGACATTCCTATAAAATGTGAAGGGTGCAATGATACTTACTTGACAAAATGCTGGAATATGAATTTGAGCACCTGGAAGTTTTCGTCTGGCAGTTTCTTAGTGAGGAGTTCCCTAAGCTGAAGAAGGCGCATACTCCGATCAGAGGTTCTCACTAAAAATTCAAAAGAAGTCAAAATTTTCTTGCTGTGCACAGAAAACAACAAATATAAGTAAATAATATGCATAGACAGGGCCAAACAGGAGAGATTCAGTTTCATTCCAGCAGCAGGGATTAATATCATGTCCCACGATCAATTGAGACTAATCGAAGAATAATTTGTATCAAACATCCGTTCCATAAAAAAACGAGAGACATTGAAAAACTGACTGATTTCAGAGTATGTAGCTAACAGGTAGGACAGTTTCGTTCAGAAACCCCCACTCTGAAATAGAGAGGTGGGTGAGGAAGCAGTCGGTCAGCAGGTCACATGCTTCGCAGGAAGAGGAGACACAGGGACAGAGAGTGAGAGAGACAGCTGAATGTGTGATTTGGGCTCACCATGTGAGTCAAGGGCTCTCCTGGCCTTGTCCACTAAGTGGGAGCAACACAATACAATTTAGACAACCCAGCTCAAAGAGTGTGGTTAATTTCTACAAAAAGCCCTACCCACTTTAACCACCACAACAATGAATGATCAACCTGGCCTCAATAAAAAATTTGAGCTAAATTTAATGTAAGAATTTTAAAATTTCCTATTTAGTTTAACTTAATCCGTACACATACCTGAGATGTTCTCCAGCTCGTCCATGGCCTCCTCAGTGAAAATTGGTGGCAAACGTTTTGAGAAGAAGTCCTTCAAAGCTGTGGCCACCGCGTTCACAGGAATGTCTAGTGCTGCCACATTTACGTTGGGATCTGTAACATTTAAGTTATAATTATTTTAATATTTTTTATATTTTTTATCAGAGTTTTTACCTTCTTCCAACTTCTGGAAGAGCAGTTCAACATGGGCGCGGTTTCCAGGCACTCTGTAGATACCCTCCGAGTCGACACCTTCGCTTTCAATGAACTGAACGCACTTTTCAATGATTAGCGGCACGGCATTCTGCTTAGACTGCGCAAAGTCAGCCAAACAAGGCCCTTTGACGGCAACTTTACTGCCTGCTGCCTTTGCCGCCTTCTTGCGGTCTTTGTCGAGTTTCTTTTCCTCCTTCTGCCGGCGCTTCTCTTCCTCCTTGGCCTTTTGCTTCTCCTTACGTGATGTCTTTTCATCCTTCTTTGAACCACCTCCGTACTAGAGGATAAAAACAATGAATCAAGGCAATAGCATTAGACACAATGCTTACATCAGCTGGAGGAGCACCATAGCCTTGTAGACCTTGATACATCTGGTGGTGGTCCTGGATTGTTAAGAGACCCTGATAAATAATAAATCTACTTGTTTTTTTTTCCAAATTTAAATATTAACCCACCATTGGAGAGTTGACATCTCGTGGTGATGAAACATCCAAGCTGGACTCTTCCTCAGGGCCAAAAGTTCCTTCCAGTTTGTATTTGCCTATGTAATATAAGTTTAATTAAAATGAAGCTCTTTCTTAATTAGTAAAAACTCAAACAAAACAACTAAAGAAGTGAATTAGAATCATGAATTGCCAATGGAAGTGTGGCAGAGCCACTGAAGTGAGTAGTCCTAGAAAGTTGAAGGATTCTTTTGTTAGTTCTACACTTACACTCGCAAAAAGCTAACAACATGCAAGTTAGTCTATGAACAATTAAATCTACACGACAGGAAAAAGAAAACAGAAAAGGAACATAAAATTATATCTTGAGTTCTTAAGTTGTATTATATTTTTAGAAAGTACTACTTAAAAACTAATTATACACAATTAGAGGAAGTTGAATTATCTACAATAGGAGCAAATGGTTAAATGTATAGATGGAAACACCAAAGTCAAAGATGAAATAGATGAAATGCCAGCCAAAATGAAAACTCTTGGAACCTAGGGTAAAACCTCACCTGACTGGTGGTAGGCGAAGTGCCTTGGAATTACCGGCGGTGCAACAGGCCTTCGTAGGGGATGCTTGTGCGGCCTCGGGGGCAATGTCCGTGGCTCTTCTTCACTCTCGTCCGAGCCTGATTCACTCACTGTTGCCAAAATAACCAAAATAACAAAAAAGCTCACCAAGCGCAACCATTATTTATCAAAATGAGCAGCTTTTGAAATTTTTAAAATGAGGATGCTGTTCATTTTAATGGTTGCAAATGGTAATTGCAAAAAACAAAGCCATGCCACTCTTTATTTCATGCTCACGTCGACTGACTTTGGAGATTTGAAAAAAAAAAAAAGAATCTGAAATTGAATTAACACCTTTGTCGTCCTTGAAGCGATAGCTGAGCATGGCGGCGGCCGCGTCTCCAAAGGGTGGGACGCGCGGCGTAGCCACGGGAATGGCCGCCCTCTTCTTGCGGGTCCGCTTGTGCGGGGTGGACTTGCGGCCTTGGCCACCAACCCCGGCGCCTCCACGGTACATCTCGGCGGCCAGCTTGCGGCGTTCCAGGCTGCTCCAATCACTGTCCGAGTCAGTGTACGCTGTTCACAAACCACCCACCAGAAAGCTCATTAGCGTAAGCGATAGAAAGCGACAGAAAATAATTGCAGAACAGGGACTCTTTTTACAAACAGGGTTTCAATTTCGTCAAACGTAAAAAAGCGCAGTTCTGTACAATGCAAATTCAATCTTAACTCACACTGGCAGGATTCAAAAGGTAAAAAATTTACAAAATTTTGGACTATTTACAAAATAAGAGTAACGGAGGTTAAAAACTTCTGATTTAGTTCCTGATTCATTTATAATATTTAAATTTGATTGTCCTTTCAACAAATAACTATTGTGCCGATGAGACGTTCATTGACTGTTTACTGTGGTCAAAACTTAGATTTATTTTGTGTAATTAAATACTGACCAGCAAATTGAAAAAAAAACATGGATTTTAAGAAACTGGTTTGGAAAAAAAGGAAAAAAAAGAAACTGGTTTGGAAGGAACTTCGAACACAATAAAGCTTATGAGTTTGTAGCCTCTTAAAAAAGGTTTAATTACCTTGTCTATGTCCCTTGTCTCTTCTTTGACGCAAGCGAGATTTGTTAGTGCCAGACAAAGTATCTTGAGGCATATAACTGAATTCGCCGTCGTACTGGAAGCCACCCTGCAGAGCATCTTTAACCTGCAATTGAATGGATCACATCTCAATCTGAGCCAATTTAACAGGACAAAAACCATATTACTATTGGGGTAAAATAGCCTTTTGTAAATTTGATTCCTGCTCAATTCACAGTCAAATCAAAAAATTGTGATTGAATTTATTAATATTAGTGTAACTGGGGTTACTAGTGAGTTCCAGCCATTTCCACTAACAAGTAAGCCTTGAATTAAATATATTGTTGTTAAAATGTTGGTTATGACTAACTCATTAGCTAGGTCTATGTTATGACAAGGAAACATCTAACAATAACAACACACAAATTAGATAATTAAATTAAAAAATGGCTTAAAAATGCAAAGTGTGCGAGTCTAATTGAATTTTTGGCAGTAATCGTGCTCAGGGTCGTGGCTTACCTGCTCAAAGTCCTCGGACTTGGCGAGGGGAGCGTGTCTTCTGGCCCAAGCCTCTCGGGCCTTGGCCTCTTTTGCCGGTTCGGGATTCATTCGTTTCAAAGCGACATCCAAGTTGGAAAATTTTTCCATATTCAACTTGCCAGGCTGCTAAAAACGACAACCAACACTCAGCTCTCCGAAACCGTCCGTTTAAAGCACCGACGGGCAGCAGAGAGAGGAGCAACTCAAGGGTGAACTCATGCAGAAATTAATTTTAAAAAGCTCAACTACCATCATGATAAAAATTGCTCGTTTAGTTTTTACATAAAAAAGTTGAATTTGTGAAAGTAAAATAATGCAAGGCGTTGAAATCATGCAAGTGTCATTTATTAATGAGGACATTACTCAAGCCAAGCTAAAGTTCGAGTTAATCATCATAGCAGGTGACATACCTTGAGGGTTTGACTGTTGCCCTTTGGACGGGTCGACTTGGAAGTCAGGTGTCGTCTTCCAGTAGTGAACGCATGCATACCATAGCTGTTGAACAACAACTCATTGTCTTCCTTGTCTGTAAGCATTAAAAAAAATGCGAAAGGTAAAAAGTTATTCTTGATAACTTCTGGAACAGATTGATTTACATGATGGATAAAATCAGAAATTAATTCACCTAAAAACTACATGACAAGGACAATGATTCTGGCAGGGAAATTAGAAACGCATGGTTTGTTAAAATAATATATAAGGTTGAAAGAAATCAAGTGAGAGGAGGACATGCAGGTGGATGGACACGAGACAGACACAAATCACCTGAGTCACCTCTAGTGGCCAACGACTCCCGGGAGCCGCTTATGTCAGCTTGGGAACAGAGAGAACCGTAATTAGTATCGATAAGTAGGAAAAGCATCAAAGCAGGACAGGTCTCTCAATTGATGAATAAAATTAAAAGCTTGATTGTCAGTAAAATGAGAGCCGTCCAGATTTTAGGACAATTACATGTGATCTCCTCGAGGCTCGAGTGCGATCCTGTGGGCAGCGAGGCCGACGCCTTGCTCAGTCTGGAGCGCTGCGGGGGGTGGTCAGGAGGGGCCGGCTCTGGTGGGGTAGTTGGGGGCGGATACACCTCAAAACCTGAACCCGGTAGCATGACATAAAGGAAAGCATCCCCCATCGAGATTAGCAAAGATATAATGAATCACTTCGAGTGGTTATTAGATATTTTGTTTATCTCTCAGTGCAAGTCATAGAAGGAAAGTAAGATAGCAAAGATTTGAAGAAAAAACAACTAATTACCTTGATGCAACTTTCTGCGGTTTTTTATGTCAGATGGCTTGACTAGATGGTGCTCGCCATTTTCCTGGTGATACAGCTCGACAGAGTACTCGGAATCCTCACTGGCCGACAGACCCTGATCATCAGGGAATGTTGGCGAGAGCTGATCATCGAGCTCATCACCCATTGAACCGTCCGTTGGCAGTCGCTCATAAATTTCACTGCCACTCCTGTTAAAATATATTTCCCCCATGAACAAAAACTAACGGAATAGGTAGACGGGACTTTTAAATCAAATGTATTAAAATTCTCTATTTACATTGAGAGCAAGAATATTTACTTTTTGGCTCCCTACAAGTGAGCATTGAGCAAGTAGACTTTTTTTTTCATTAATCTGGCTTGGTGTTAAATGTAGCAAGGAAGTGAGTAACCACACACTTCCAGGAAAAAAGGATGTGGTTTTCAGTAATTTGGCCCGTAATTAATAAAATGATCAACATGGCAACCCACAGCACTATTTTTTTATAACTTTGTGGTTGCATAAACTTCATTATTTGCAAGGTTATTTAAATTACCCATCATTGGAGTTAGAAGCCTTGATGTGATAGCTTTCGTGGCGGGGTGGCGGTCGAGGGTGGTGTCGTCCCGAGGATCTCTCTAGGGTGCCTTCACCAGAGTCGTCTAGCTGTCCAGGCTCTTCCATATTGAACGCCTGCTCGATCTCTGGCTTCTTGTCCCAAACCTCTTTGAAGAACGGTGTGAAAAACGCAGCTGCAAATTGAATAAAAAAAAAATAAATAAAAAAATTGCAAAATTATTTTCTTTAAAAGAAACTCACTTTTCTGTTGGGCAGTGGCAGCTGAAGTCATGAAGTGGGCACCGAGTCTGTCTGCCACAATATTACCACCTGCAATGAGCTGGTGGCTTAGGTCATTACTAAAGAACGCATTTGCACCACCGGAGTCAGTCACGGCCAAAATTTGAATTGGCAGATTTGGAATGTTGGCAGAAAATGCACTGAAAATTCAATGATTGAGCATCAATATAAATTGTTTAAATCTCTGAGGACACTCACTCTAGGGTGGCTAGGGAGGCTTTTCGTTTTGTTGAGTAGACAAGCACGAACCCATGGACGAGCTCCTCGCGGAAAGCATTAGCGCCGTGGAATGACGAGATGATAACTTCAACCTTACGCTTTGAATCGCCTAGGAAGGTTTCCAGGATGATGCTGCGGTCTCCCGAAAGGAAGCAGCACTGGTGGCTCAGCAAAGGACTTAGCACATGTTCAACAGAATAGGGGTCTCCGCAGAAAACACACAATATTATCCGAATATCTGGCTCACTGTATCTATGAAAAAAAATCCGCAATATTTAGGAGATAATTATATTAATTAATAAGGATTGAAACTCACTCTACAACTGACTGATAGATGTTGAGGAACCCTGCCCTGTGCTGGATAGACTGAACCAGCTGTCGAAGGGCGTCTGAGATCAGCACAGAGTTAAACCTCTGGCAATCACCTCCTGACACTGACTCGTCGATAGACACATCGATAAAAGGGCATTGCAAGCTTAAAATCACCAGTTAGAATAGCACTGGATTTTTCATTACAAAAAAAAATACCTATCAGCAAGGGACTGGCCCTCCTCCCGAAGATGCATTGCTTCTTTTTCGTCAACGGATGGATCGCAGGAGAAGAGAATGACTATGGGCAGGCCTTGGAAGGGCAAACGATCCTCTTGCTCAAGGTTTGACAACAGAGTTTTCTCAAGACTGTCTCTCACATACTCAAAGGACTCGGGATTGGAGTAAACACAGAAACAGCCTGCAAAAAATGAAAAATTATAAAAATTGCTTGACACATTGTTGGCAATATTGGAAAGAGGAAATGTGCTTTTATTGGACAAACTGTTTTCAAAATTATTTACAGGAATCTCTGGCCCTAAGTAAAGTGTTTTATGTAAAGGCGATTGTGAAATGGATTTCAAGAGTAAATGAGTGCTAAACTGTTATAATCCTTCTAAAGTGATCATTCAATAGAGGACTTAACAGTGACAAATTGGAGGAGACAAAAGTATTCAGACATACCATGTTCTGAGTGGTCTCCTTGAATGAGAGAGCCAGGCCAGAGTATAGATTAATTGGAAAGACATTGTTCAAAAGTACTCACCGTGTGGCAAAAAATCTGACGTTCTGAATGAGTTCTGAGGCAAAGAGACATCTCCATCAATTATCCTATAGTCCAAACCGTAAGTCTGACACTCAAATTCATACTCGTCATCTTCACATTGTGCCTAAATTGTCAGTGAAAAGGTTAAAAAAAACGTGCTAATGAGCAATTTCAGTTTTACGAACCCTAATCTCTGTAGCTAATTCCTCTGCCAAACCATCAATACCAAGGAGAACCAGATTCAATTTATTACTATCAGCACTCAGCAACCATTGACTACTCCTATTCCAAGAAGATGGCCTGCTTGATATTTATGAGAAAAATTATATCTTTGCAGTAATTATATACCTATGAGCCTTTGTAGCAAGAATTCGCTCGATAAGAGCATCCATGCAGTTAGGGAATGCAGGGCAGTGTTCTCGAATGGGGCAGTGGACAAATCCTAAATGCTGGAAGAGCATCAGTTTGCGGTCCTGGTCAAGTCTGTCTAGTGCCTTGTAGCGCGAGTCCTCTTGTAGTGCATCGGTGATGTCTTTTATGTCGTCTTGTGTAATTGTTCCAGACGGCGCTATGCTCTTGAAATGGTAAAACAGATCCGCATGCTCAAGTAGCAGCTCCTTCAAGTAGCAAAGTGTTAAAAGTTTTGAACATGAAATAAAATAAAAAATTACTTGGAAATTGTGCTTGGCTTTGTCGATAATCTCTTTCTGGTGCAGATCATAAATTTGCTGGCAGTCCTGCTCAGAAAGTGCCTCAAAGCATTCTCTACCCATAAAGAGTACCCGCACTTCAGATAGCAATTTGCCAGGAGTAACATACCCAGTTTCCTCTAGCAGCTGCTTGAATTGCTTGCGCCATCTAAAAAAATTAACAAGAGGTTTTATTTTAAGGGAATTAAAATTAATTTAGCCTAAAAAAAAATGTTCATTCTAAAGTTAGTATTGGCTAATTTTACAGCTTGAATACATACCTTCTAGGAAGTCTGCAGCAGGCGGAAACAGAGAAAGATTGATTATTAGTAAGTGTATAAAAAGCAGTGTCGGCCTGGAAAACTATTTACAATTTAATTGATCACCTGCCCATAACCCAGAACATAAAAAATTCTGCTCTTCAGTTAGTGCAAATTTCAGAAAAAAAAGTTAATCTTTTAACCAGGCTAATGTACAGATTTCAATTTAAATAAGATGCTAACTCTAATCTCTTCTGCTCCTGTTGGAGAACATTGAGGTGGTTCTTAAACACAGTCTCCGCCTCAATAGTGTCCAGCACGTCATAAGGAATGCGCCCCTCGTCTTGGGTCTCGTCAAGCTCCATCCAGGACATGTCCTCAGGACACTCGAAGAAATACTGATTAAAATCAGGGTGGTCTTTGATGTGCTGTTGCACAAGAGGCCAATCACTGCAAACAGTCCTAGCTTAGATTTCGATTTCATTTTTATTTAATTTTCTTTTCCTACCCATCGTGTAGAGTATTGAGGTCAGGAACCATCTCCTGTAGGATTTCTGGAAGCATATCCATGTAGTTATTGAGGCGAGCGGAAAGTTGCTCATCTTTGAGACGTTTCACGTGCCGACGGAATTGTCTCTGAGCACTGTCTATTCCGAGGAGGGCCACGAAGTTGATGAAGTCAGGGTGACCAGAGAGTTTCTTGCTTGTGTGGCTCCAAACACAGTGGTAGTCTTGAACCTGATTGCGTATTAAACGCTGGAAACCTTCCGTTGCCATGTCCAGTTGCTCCTTTCTCATACGGGCTGCCTCGTGAAATGGGACAATCTGCAATTTTGGTTAAATTAATCAAAGCTTGCTTAGAGTCATTTCAGATGACACAAACCTTAGGCCGTCCCTTGCTGCGATCTATCAGCTGAGCAAGAGCAATGAAGGCCTGGTCTACATTTATGTTCTCATGGGCGGAAGTTTCAATCATCAAGAGAGCGCCTTTGAACTCTTTCCGCTGCACCAGTCTTTCAGCTTCTTTGACGTAGAGCTCGTTGGCCTCGTCATTTTTTGTAGTTACCAGCACCACCGGCTTCTTTGTCTTCATCAGGTTATTTAAAATTCCACTAATATACTCAACCTACAATGAAAAATTTGTTTGTATAGAAATTAATCTCTGAAAATATGAGTTCAAGGACTTACTTGTTTCTCAATGGACCTGCTGGGCACTGTGGACACATCCAATGCACAAACAAACCCATCGACACTAAACCTGCCATCTGGCAGCACCTTTTGTTCATACTCCTTTTCGATACCTGTGATAATATTTATAAGTAAAAAAAAAATAGCTAAAAATGGGAAAACAAAACCAACCTAGCTGATTTTTGCAGATGTACATAAGTTTTTCGGCCGAGGCAAGTTTTGTGGCACAGCATCGCTTGATATACGGCTCCATTTTGCCTCCTGCTCATTAAAAATATTTAGAAAATATTTCAAAAAAATTATTCAAAACTAAACCTTTAAAAGCTTGAAATGAGGCATCATCAATGAACTCAGTCTGCTCTACCACATTAAAGAGAAACTCGCCATCCTCGGAACTTTTGAGGACTTCCCCCCAGTAGAGAAAGTGATCGTTGTTGATCACCCTGGAGCTGAAGTCCATCTGACTCAGTACAGAGATGTGCTCCACATTGTACTCGTCGGCTTCCGAACGAACAAACCTGCAAATAGTAGGTGGAGAATTGAATTCAAAATTCCACACACAGAAATAAAAAAACTTTTACCTGTTGCAGAGACATGACTTGCCAACTCCTGAGTGACCCTTTTCCTTCTCTGTGCCGGACACTCCGACCACACTGATGTTGAACGATCTCATGTTCCTCGACATTTCTTTTGTCTCTACCAATGCGAAAACTCCTCTGGCTCACCTCAGGCCCATTGGAACCTGCAACAGTTGTTTTTAAGTAAATTATTATTAATTTATTGAGTGAGAATGTGGCAAAGCGAGTTCATTCATGTTTTATTTTAACTACAGCTTTTCCTCAACGCATTTTTTTTTTTTTTAATACCAAGCAGGACATTTTTTTTATATAATAAAATAATAAAAATAGCCCATTGAAGAAACGCCAATGTTAAAACATGAATTAAGATTTTTTTATCTACAAGGGTTTTATTCCAAAATAATATTAGCGAAAGGTTTATATTTAATTTACAAAGAAATCATTCAACAAACTAGGCTATTGAGGATAAAAGATCTCCTACTTTTTTACTAGCGTTGAATGCTCACGTTATAATATGAAAACAATCCCAGCGCAGTGTATCAATTTACATGGAAAGTTGGTCAGCAAATCGATGCAGGATGTGACAAAAAAAAACATTGATTGCAGCTTTGAATCTCATCAGCATTGAGAATGAATGAACCAAGATTAAAATAAAAATCATTCTTGGATTGAAATCGCACATCCGATTATTTCCTCTTTGGGAAGCAGAAAAAATGGAGCAAAAAACCGAAAAAGTTTGACGAAACCGCAGGGGCCGAGGGAAAATGGCAACTCAAAGTGTCGCATCTCTGCGGAGGCGGCAGCGGTTCAAAAACCGGACCTGCCGCCTCCGCACTCTCACAGGTGACCAATCGGCTCCTGGGGCCGTCGCAAAAGGACGGGGGTGGCTCAGAGGCCCTCGGGGGACGCTGACCTGGAGGCGGCACCGCTGCGCGCGGAGGCCGGGGGCGAACGCCGGAGGCGGCTCCGATGACGGAGTCGTGCAAGGAGGCGGCCACGGGGGCCGCTCGGTGCTCGGGGACTGCGGCGGCGGAGTCTACACCTGCCTCCGATGACACATTCAGGTCGAATTTGTGCAGTGCCTCTCCCCTGGAGTCAATGCGACGCCATATTGAATAATCTGTCACCCTTGTTCGGCGCACGCGCTCAAATTTTGCCCCCGATCCGAATATCGATGCTCGAGAAAAACTTTCCAACAATTTATTTTAACTGCTGCTAATTTTTTTGCAAGTTTATCTCAACTTCAACCATCTCAATAAATTTTATACAAATTACTTTGTGTTTTAAAATAAATTAAATCGTGTCAACATTGATTACTTCAAATAATTTTCTGACGATCAATCTGATTTTCAGGATTTAACAGTTCAAAGTGACATCTGTGGATTTTGTTTCGAAGCGAATCTAAAACTTCGATCCGTTTTTGCCCGATTTCCGCGGGAAAACAGCTTCTCACAGACTAAAATTAGTAAACAAATGTATTTTTTTCTATTTTCCGTTCATTTTATGTTAATTCACGTCAGGATTTTGCTAAAATAAAATTTTTTATCAGAAATAAAAAATAAAAATGTAATTATTTTTGTATAATAAACCACAGTAAAAGAAGAATCATTTCTTTCATTATGGTTATAAATCTCTATTATTTCATTAATTTCATTGGGTCTTGGTGTGGAATAATTATTTTATTCCTCTCTTAATTTGTTTGTTTTGACTGTGGCTGTGTCATCGGAGAACTTCATTGTTTTTTTTTATTATTATTATTCAATTAATTTTCGGCTTACAATTAAATTCATTTTTTAAGGGCTTTCTTTTTAATTATTCTTTTTAATTTCTGGCAATTGTTTTAAGTTGAATTCTTACAAATAAATCTTGCATTTATTTTAAATTTAAAGTAGCTTTAAATTTACAAATAATTATTATAAATTCAATTGGAATTAGCTTGTACAATTCATGGGATTCCAATTCACTTCAAGGGAATTTATAAAGGCATTTTAGAATTCAACTGCAGATTCACAGAACTTTCTAGATGCATCTAGAAAGTTCTCAATGTAAATCAAATGGGTGGGTGGGTTTTGCACGACCCTCCCAGGGCTGCTACCCGCGCTATAAAAAGGCGCTCCGTCCGCTGGCTCGATGCAGAAGGCTGACAGACCTCAGAGAAATCCGAGGTAAAGCTCCGACACTCGAGCCAGCTGACGGAGAGCATTCAACCCTTTGCTCTTTGTTCGCAGGACACCTGGACTTCCAGTGCAGTTTCGGACGCCCGTCCGAACCCTTCGCACTCGTCCGAGCCGTCCCAAGGCCCCGACCGCTGTCTCGTCCCGACGCTGTCTCGTCCGAGGACAGCCGGAAGGCCGACCGCGTCCCGAGCCCCTCGAGCGGCACGCCTGTGTCCATCGTACTGTCCGGGGTGTGGCCGAGCCGTCCGAAGCCGTACGGAGCAGTTTTGCCAGGTAAGAGAAATTACAATTGTTTCTCCCTGAGGCCTTCTTTTGGCCAAAAGGTCAAACCACTACGTGAGACGGAAGTACAGCCGAGTGACCCATTGTTTTTGTCCCCAGCTCCTTCCTGTCCGAGGAATCGGGCGCCGACGTGGCACGCCGCCAGCGAGCGCTCGGACGAAGGCGTCCGAACGTCCGCCGCCAGAGACCCGCACGCCGTGGGCCCCGGCCGCGCCGAGAGCCGCCGCCGACCTGCAGGGAGCCGTCCGGGTTCCCAGCAAGGACGTTTCCAGGGCAGCCTGCCGGCCTACCCAGGGAACACCGCTCCCATTTGTTGATTTTTAAGTGACACTATACGGACAATTTCGAGCCAGTGAATTTACCCTATCCAGCCAGAATTGTTGTGAATACAATAAAGCCCGTGTGTAAGCCAACTTACATTGTTTTAAACAATTACAAATTAATCATAATAATTTACACAATAGAAATTACTGAACAATTACCCATTAATAATTTATTAAGCAATTAAATAATCAGTCAGTATAATCATATGCAAACCCCTTACTTGCAACTTCTTATTATCATTTTGGTTTGCAATAAACTAAATTTGTAATACCAGTCTCAACAAATTTCAAGACACTTTTTATGGATTTTTTGACGGATTAAAGATTTTAAATTTAAATATGTAACATTAAACGAGATATAAATTTCTATAAAACTGATATATCGCAAAATATTCCAATGAAAAATAATTTATTAACCCATGATCATAAAATATCGCCTGATGTGAGAAAGAAAAATTTTAATACATATATGGACATCTTAATTTAATCCTCCCTCTGCTCTGCATGCAGTATTTAAATAAAATTGTGGCAGTAATATTTTAAGGTCATGGTTTGTGACTGTTCTTAAAATTCGTAAAATTCAAATACAGAACGTGTGTGGGTTCATGGCGCGCCGGCCGCGTCTTTATTTCCTTTTGAATGTCAGGCGTTTTAGCAGACTTCTGCTAGTTGTGATACCCTTTATGCTTATTTTTCCCATTTTAATTTTTTTTAAGACGATCGATCGTCTTAAAAAAAAATTACTCGAGTAGAATAATCAATATTTTAAAATGTTAAAAATGCTAAAATTTTTTCCTTACATTATTGATCATTATAGTTGTGATTTAAAAAAAGAAGCAAGCTTTTTCAATTATTATTTCTTTTTATCGCTTTTTATATTTGAAAAACTGGAAATGAGTTTGTAAGCTAAAGGCTTGCTTGGATCATTAATTGTCATCAAGATGCTTTTCTTGTAAAACAAGACTGCTTAAAATCAATTTGCTTTTTTACAAATAACAGTAGCGGTTTTTTCGTTATGGTAAATCCCAATTTCACGTATAATTCGTATGGTTTATTTAATATTGACTGCAACTGCAATCCTGGAAATTTCAATCAAATAATGAAGTATGGCTGTACATAAATTATTAAGATTTGGGAAAGAAATTGTGAGATTTTGCTTTGTGAAGCAAATTTATCACTTCTTCAAATTGATGTCTGTATTTAAATTTGGGAAAGTAAACCTTTTGATTTTTACTTTCAATTTAAAAATTTTGCCATCTTAAACTGATTTGTTGGCTGTTGGAGTTTTATAGCAATTTGAGTAATGTACCAAAATTAATTATAAATAGCCTTCAATCATTGTAATTATATTATGCTGAACAGCTTAGATAGAAGTAACATTAAAATATCATTGTTAAAAATTCTGTACACAATTTGCGGGCAATAAATTAGAATCTAGAAAATTTATATTCACGCCAGGCTTGAATAATACCTCAAGTTTTCAATGTTCAATAACATAAACAGAAATTGTTTGAAGCAAATAAGTTAAATCAACTTTCTCATAATCCATATTCACATTGAAAAAAAAATACTCCACAAGACATCTCTATTATCAGCTATTAAAATAACCTAAATAAGCTCTCTATTAACAACTTCACATGAAATTTACTTTTGAATTAGCTGCAGAATGAGATGTTCCAGATTTTAGATGTTGAACAAAATGATCTTTTATTATTTTCAAGATGGTCACAAGTAATAAACATAGGATTAGAGCCTGCGACCTCTGCGGCCGCCCTTTCTGCGGGTCGAGTCTGACGGGATGGGAGTGACATCCTCGATGCGGCCAATTTGCATGCCAGAACGGGCGAGTGCCCTCAATGCAGACTGAGCACCAGGTCCGGGGGTCTTGGTGCGGTTTCCGCCAGTGGCACGCAGTTTGATGTGCAGGGCAGTGATGCCGAGGGTCTTGCACTTCTCGGCCACGTCCTGCGCTGCCAACATAGCTGCGTACGGCGACGCCTCATCTCTGTCAGCCTTCACCTTCATGCCTCCTGTGATTCTTGAAATTGTTTCCCTGGACAAAGAAGAATGCATTTGATTAATAAAAATAAAAAACAATAATATTAGTGTTAAGCAATAAGTATGATCAAATTTTGTGTAAACCTGATATTTTGTTATTTTTATTATATTAAAATACATACCTTCCGGAAAGGTCAGTTACGTGGACAAAAGTGTCATTGAAGCTTGCGAAAATGTGGGCGACGCCAAACACAATTTCACCTTCGCGGACCTGCGGTCCCAAAGACACTTGCACCTCCTCTTTCTGAACTTTTCCTTTTCGCGGTGCCATTTTGTGAAATTTAAATCTGCGAATAAAATTAAAATTAGAGCACAACAAGGAAAAAATCATATTTTACAAAACAAATCGTTAAATTTTAACAATGATGGACATTATGGACAACACTGGTGATACATAGTGGTTCTCAAGAGATTCGCTATTTAACCGAGAATTTTACTTTAAACTCAAACAATAATTTTCCCTGCTGCAAAACTGACAGTCTAGCCGGCACGTTCAATCGACTGTCACAGTTGAAGATACACAAATTCGGGCCGAAGTCGGCGAACCCTTGACACAAGATGCACCATGCTTCAGAGGCGTATGTTTACCAACATTTCGGCTCCGAATTTCGGCACTGACCTCAATGCGAATCAACGATTGAAGCTGCCCATACGACACTTTGGCAACAGGATAACACATAAAACCCAAATTGAGGAAAATTTTGGCACGGATGAAGAGAATATTCGCTGATAAAAATTTGATTCTCAAAATTCTTACCACGACACTCGCTTTGCACACCAGAGAAACGACCGCGGCCACCTATCGGTGAAAGGACTGAACTACTTTTAATACCAACGTAAAAATTAACTTCTCTAAAATGTAAACCAAGTCTTTGTGTCTTGCTCGATATAATGTTGCAAATTATTCAAATTTTAACTCATAATTTATCATATAAAAATTAATTTTGTGTTATTTTACACAACAATTTGCCGTACGCAGGAAATGGTTACATTTAAATAATTTATATCAAGTTTGCAGCTCTGCATCCCCTCCAATTGATTTTCTGAACGTGGAAAAATGGGCTCGTTTCTTGCGTTTGTTTTGGCCGATTCGAGACGATAAATAGCCGATTGATCAAGTTGGAGTTTCTTGCTGGTGTACGAAAGTTCGGCAAAATAGAGCCCGGCACTACCTAGGTAAAAAGGTGGCCCATAATTTTAATCAAACCCGCATGAATTAGTCATTCTGAAACGTATTTTCTCCAACAGGAATCGAAGGCGACGATCGGGCTGGAATCGAGACTGACAAGTTTGGGTCGGTCTGGGGCTCGGCAAGCAGCAGGCACGTCGGCAGCCATTGTTGGTGTTGTTGTTCTGTCCTGCTGGTGGTGGTGAGGTTCTGGCCAAGTCTGGCGGATGGAACTGCCGTGAGACTGGCGCGGAGGCTGATGGCGGGGGCCGCGGCGGCGGCGGCAGCCGCCGTCGACGAGTCGTCCGACCCGATGGTAGACTGGGAAGAGGGTGAGAGCCGCTTCTCCTTTGAGGACTCTGACCGATTTGAGGAGGACTCACTCTGCAGCTGGTCCAGCGAACCCGAGTCTGTCTGCAACAACTGGCGCGGCTGGAAGCGGCCGCCGAATGCGGCCACGCAAGGGCCACCTCCGAACATTGCTCGCAGGTCCCTGCCCGGACCAGGTGAGATCGAGCCCCAGGACATTCACCCCTGACCCTCTGAATTTGACCTATTAATTTCGGAGCTCGCTATTACATATTGGTTCTACTCGAGATGGCAGCCAATTTTCTCTTTGGTTATTTTTCTTCCTAAAATTTTGTGAAAAAAATAATCAAAATTAATGCTTTTTTAATACACTTTCAATTTTTAACACGGTTTCGATTTTTAATTAAATTTTATATTGAACATTGAGTTTTTATTTTTAAATCTAAGGTTATTTTCAATTAATTAACAATTATTTAATTATTTTTTTCATTTAAACTGAAGATATATAAACACAAATAGGCCTTAATGAAAGTGTTTAACTAATATATTGTTTTTTTTTTTTCATAAATTTTTCTTTTATTAAACATGTTCTCTCTTTTGAACTCATGTAGTTTCAATGGTTTCTCCAAAAGTCTGTTGTAAGTCGGCAGGACAACTTTTTGCAGCTTGCTGTCTGCCAGGTTTTTGCATGACGCCTGTTCTTTTCTGCCGGTCGCCAAATTTTACTCGTTAAGCAACAGGGCGCAGCAGCTGGTCCCCAGCTCTTTTTGTACATACTCATTTATTTATTATCCTGGGCGACCAGCTGCTTGCAAGTCTCGGGCAGGTAGCTTTTTAATTCGCTCGCGCCGACACCTCCCAGTTTCAGTTGCCCGTCTCTGTCTCTGTCTCTCTCCTTCCAACCTCGACTTGCTCTGCAAAGTTGTTGCGAAACCTAAACGTGTCTTTCAACATTTTAAATGATTAATATTTTTTTTCTTATCGTGACAACAACGACGTTCGGTTGCGAAAAATGCACAGCGGAGTTACTTTAATAATTAACAACCGAATACTTTGAAACTAAAGTTTCATTATTTCCCTAGAGTCCCTGGACTTGTGGTGGCATTGTAGGAAGTTGATAAAGCGGAGTGTTAAAACTAAATTAGCTGAAGTTATTCTAGGGAAAGTTTCAATTGCTTTGAAATACGCAGAAATCTTATTTCTCAACTTTCTAATTTAAAAATGCAACACCAACTTTACTTGTTTATAAGCAGTTCCTTTTTTAGAGTTGAATATCATTCTGAAGTAATTAGGACTTTTTATTGCTAGACTTTTATTGGATATATTTCAATTAATTGAAAAATTACATTCTTATTAGTGCGTGGTAAATTAAATTTTCCTCTTATTAGAAATTGTAAATTTTAATTATATATTTCTTGCTTTCGAACTGATTTAAGTTTACTAAACACGTTTTAACGGAGAAATATGTATGAATTTTAAACATAATTCATTGTTAATAGATTTTCATTTTGCCTTTTGTATTATTTTTCATTATTTTGTAGTTTGAAGATTTAAGAAAAATCCCTGAAATGTCCTCAGATCCAGTTGTGTCGCGCAGCGACAGGTCGACAAGTTTGACTGAGTTAGCAGCTCGGTGCGTCGCTTCCCACATCCCCTTTGAGCTGGTCGAGCGCGTCTATCCTCCCGTGCCTGAGCAGCTGCAGTTGCGAATCGCCTTCTGGAGCTTCCCAGACAACGAGGAAGACATCAGACTGTACTCATGCTTGGCCAATGGCAGCGCCGACGAGTTCCAGAGGGGCGACTCCCTCTTCAAGGCCAAACACGTCAAGGACGCCCTCCAGATTGGTGAGTGAAAGGAAACTGCAGAACAAAATATTGTTTGTTGCTTCTTTCCACTTCTTTCCAGAGAAATGCACTTAAACCTGAAATAAAAGGTATCTTCCTAAGCGAAAGGAGTATTAATTTTACTTCAATTATTACTTTAATTATATCATAATTATTTTATCACAAATAGCACAGTAAATTTTTTTTATTATTTAAAATTGAAACTCTGCTATTGACTGAATAATTATTGTTTATATTTGCCAGCCAGTTGCCAGCTAGTGTTTATTAAAAAAAAGTGAAGAAACAAACACAATATCTGAAACTTTTAATTTCCGGCTGTAGCTATATTTCATTATTAGTAGCCTTTAATTAATAAATTTAAATTACCTGCATTATTATTAAAACCCGGCTGTGTGCTCTTGGCTAACTTGGAACATGCATTTTTAGGTTTCCATTTAAGCGCTACAGTAAGCCAGAGCGGCAACGCCAACATTGCAATGGTCTCCAGCACGAGGCCAGAGTATAATGTGGCCGTGACATTCGACCGACGCCGAATCACGTCCTGCAACTGCACCTGCAACTCAACAGCCTACTGGTGTTCGCACGTCGTTGCAGTCTGTCTGCACCGAATTTTCCAAGTAAGCGTCCATAGTCGGTCCATGTTTGCCCTAATAAGAAAAACTTTGTGCAGCCGCAGCAAGTTTGTCTGCGGGCGCCGGTAAGTGAGTCGTTGTCTCGACTGCACCGGGAACAGCTGCAGAAATTTGCACAGTACCTGATCAGCGAGCTGCCACAGCAAATTTTACCCACGGCGCAACGGCTGCTCGACATGCTGCTCTCACCGCACCCTTCGCCCATAAACATGGTGCGCGGCGCGCCTGACCCCACTGCAGGCGCTTCTGCCAATGACCAGACCTCATGGTACCTCGACGATAAGACCCTGCACGACAACATCAAGAAGATTCTCATTAAGTTCTGTGTGCCAGCACCCATTGTGTTCAGGTGGGTTTTAATTAGTTTTCCCTTTGTGCAAATTTAATCATGTATATTCTTGTAGTGATGTCAACTACTTGAGTACGAATGCGCCGCCAGCAGCAGCCGAGTGGAGCAGTTTGTTGAGGCCCTTGAGAGGCAGAGAGCCTGAGGGCATGTGGAATTTGCTCTCAATAGTTAGAGAGATGTTTAAGAGGAACGACAGAAATGCGGTGCCTCTCTTGGAAATTGTGACAGAAGAGTGCATGATGTGTGAACAGGTACTGTCAACTTTTTCTACCAGAAACCTTTATTTTGACTTTAATTTGTTTAACTTGCATCTCTAGATTATGGTCTGGTGGTTTAACACTAAGGTAGCTCTACACAATGGCAGTTCAAGTCATGGAGGCAAGCACAGTGTGAACAGCAATAGCCATGCTGCACAGCATGCCTGTTCGTCGCTCTGTGACGAAATTGTTGTCTTATGGAGATTAGCCGCCCTAAATCCAGGTTTGTCACCTGAGGAAAGAGACTTATTACTAAATCAATTCAAGCAGTGGCACATCAAAATAGTTGATAAGGTAAATAATTTTATATTATATACAAAAATACGGCAAACCTTTTTGTAATTGAGGAATTGTTCATTATTAAAACATCTCTAATCCATATTAAAGCATTCTAAAAATCTCTCTATTTGTCCAGGTTGCCAAAAGCAGGAACTCGACTCCGATGCGCCTTCAGTCTGGTGGGGCAAAGAGCAACACCCTGAAGACTGAAATGGAAATTTTCAGTGGGTTCAAACCTGCCATGGAAGCTTGCTACTTGCACTGGGATGACTATCCCATACCTGGAGTTACATATTCTCAAGGCAGTCGACTTTACCACTGTCCCTTTACCTGTTTCCGACATGCAGATGTTCACCAAATCAACTCATCTAGTAGCGTCCTGAACTGCACCTCACACCACAATCCCCACCATCACGCAGTGTCGGTGAAGAAAAGGAAGGGTGCTTTGGAGAATCCTGGCACGAGGTAATTACAAATTTTAATTCATTTTTAATACAATTTTGGTTAAAAATGTTTCTTTCAGATTTGCAACACAAGCTGAGGGCCTGAACTTGAACAGACGCACATTTCCTCTGGGACATGTAGTAGGCATTCCTTCGCAGGAGGGAAACAGAAGTAGTGTCAGTAGCGAGGGTTTCTGCGAGAACGACATGCTTAATCCCAATGAGTCGGATGAAGGTAGCGAATCAAGCAGTAGCAACAGACAGGTATGAACACTAATAAATTGAGACGAAATTTCTGAAGAAAAAATTTTTAGGGAGTGCCGAAGGTCTCAGATTGGAGTGACAGTGACTCTTCTGCTCAAACTGAACAGCTGAAAAGAGCAGCAGCCGCCGCTGCAGAAGCTTTAGCATCTGCAGTATCAATTCCAGCAGTGGTATCAACATCCAGTAATGAGGCATCAACATCAGCAGCCGCAACACCTACTGTTTCCACTCCTCCACAGCCTGCAGAACCTCAGCCGTCGACTAGCAAAGGAGAAAACCCTCCAGCCGAGGCAGTTGCCGAGCCGCAGCCTGCCCAAGACAAGTGGGAATCAAGCAACAGTGAACAATCCGGAGACGAATACAATGTCTACTACTATGATCCAAAAGCATTGGTTTCTCATGCACCCTCGACTGGGGCTGAAGATGCTGATGCAGCACATAAGAACATCTTTGCCAACTGCAAGAGAATGGAAGACCGGTGTGAAATCTTGTTTGCCAGAGCAGAAGCCCTTCATGCACATGGACACTCTAGAGAGGTGAGATTTTGTGATTTTCCTTGAATATATTCATAAGCATAATTTTTCCAGGCTTGTCATTTGGGAGTGAATTTGGCTCATGAGCTGTTGGTGAATCCACCAAACCTCATGATGGAGCTGCCCCCAGCCCCCTGCAAAGGAAAGCGTAAGAAAATAAATCCAGCGTCACATCAAATGAGCTGCCTGGCCTCAGCCACCTTAGCCAAGTGTGCCTTCCTCTGCAATGTGCTCTCCGAAAGTCATGAGCACCACCACCTGGCATTTAAAGTTGGCATGTTTGCCCTTGAAATGGCCAGGCCTCCAGCAAGCACCAAACCTCTGGAGGTAGCCGACTCATTATTTGTAAAGAAATTATTTTCCAACTCTTATTTTTAAAGGTCAAATTGGCAAACCAGGAAGCAGATATTGTGCAACTTCTGAAGAAAATTCCCCTTGGTGTTCACGAGCTTAACATTATCAGAGAACGGGCGGAAGAACTTCGAACAGGCACCCTCAGATCAAGGGGAGCGGCCCTCCTGCCCATAATGCTTGCCAGTTTTATATTTGATTCACTTGTTATACTAAGTAAATTTTTACCTTCTGGAGATAAAAGAAAATAATGTGAATTGACTAACATCTAAATTTTTCTCTACAGGTCGTGACCCCCGTTGGGTCTTGAGATTCCCAATCAGCAAGTTATCCATGGATGGAGATGAGGATATGTATGGTCGATCGACAGTAAATGACGAGAGTTTAGGTTTTGAAGCTGCAGTAGCAGCACTGGGGTTAAAGGCAAATGTGTCAGAGGCAGACCATCCTTTGCTATGTGAAGGAACTCGAAGACAAAGAGGAGAGTTGGCACTCACTCTGCTGGTCCAGTACAAAGATTGCTCTGATAAACTTGCTAGGATCATGGATAAACTTCTTGATAGGTAATTTTGGCTTTCCAAGCAATTTGTTCATTTTTTTACTGATTTATCATTACAGAGAGGTGCATCAGTTGATGAAGGTTCCACTTCTACCTGCCTACTACTCAAGTAACCCGCCAACTACGTCTCAGATGCACATGAGAGGAAGGGGTCAGGCAGCCCCAGGGCAGCCGTGTAGGATGCCATGGGTTCGGCAGTTCGGAGCAGTAAGGGATGATTCCAATTGTGAACAGCCCCCACCTCAACAAGGACCATCTTATCCTCCTCCTTCTCAGGAAATGAATGATTCTCAGGGTGCAGTCATGAGTGAGCTTATTTTATTGCATTATTCAATTCATTTGTTTAACTTATTTTGTGAACATCAAAGATCCAGGCAGCAGACCTCATAGTTCTACAAGTGCAGAGCTTGAGCAGAATTTGGGATCTCTTTCTCTGAGCCCTGCCCAAAATCAAGTTATGAATCAACCAAGAAACAAGGAAACTAGGTATTTGATTGTAAATTTATTTTTATTCTTGATTTATTAAGACAATTTTTATACAGGTTTAAAGGAAAACGCGCATATCCTGTAATTCCTAACCAACCGTCTGAAGCGGGCGCCCATTTCATGTTTGAACTTGCAAAAACTGTACTGACCAAAGCTGGAGGGAACAGCTCGACATCCCTATTTACCCAGGCCACTGCCTCTCAGAACCATCACGGGCCCCATCGTGCCCTTCACATGTGCGCCTTCCAACTTGGCCTTTATGCTCTTGGCCTTCATAACTGTGTCAGCCCTAACTGGCTCAGTCGAACATACTCATCCCACGTTTCGTGGATTACAGGTATGCCTGTGGCTATTTTGACAATCTCCTAATGGTCGTCATATTAATTCCTCCAAATAGGGCAAGCCATGGAAATTGGCGCGCCGGCGATCTCGTTTCTGATAGACTCGTGGGAGGGTCACCTGACCCCTCCTGAGGCAGCTAGCATTGCGGACCGCGCCTCTCGAGGCAGCGACCCCCACATGGTACGTGCTGCTGCCGAACTAGCACTTAGCTGTCTGCCTCACGCTGCCGCCCTCAACCCCAACGAAATAACACGCGCCATCCTCCAGTGCAAGGAGCAGTCGGACCAAATGTTGGAGCACTCTTGTCTCACAGTTGAGTCGGCTGCTAAGGGTGGGGGAGTCTATCCAGAGGTTCTGTTCCAAGTGGCTAGGTACTGGTATGAGCTCTACATCAGACACACACCTGGTGGGGTCGAATTACTCCTGGAGCCTGATGTCCCTAAGGATGCTCTTTTGCTGGAACAGGTGAGATTGGCATTTAAAAGAATAAAGAAAGGTTTGAGCGTAAATGAAACAGGTTTGTGGGTTAAAGTCTTAAAGTTGATTGCAGCCAATTTTTCAGTATTACTATTTTTTTGTTTGCTTCTATATTTTTAATGTAATTTGAGTTTGAATATTATTTCCGACTGACCATGTTATCAGTATGTTAGTTAATTTCATAATAGTGGCAAAACTAAACAAAAAATGTATTATAGAAGTGTGGTTGCTGAAATTTAAAATGCCCACAAATCCTGATAACGTTATATCTATTAAATCGTAGAACTACATTTCGTTCCAGGTTGGAGGACTGCAAGAGCAGCAGCAGCAGCAATCTCCTATGGAGCTCATGGCAGCCGCCCAGCCCACAGCTGTTGTTGCCCCAGCAGCTGCAGCACAGGCAGCTGCACCGTACCAGTCTCTCGGCGCCATGCCCGTCCCTTACCACGCAGTTTCGTACTCTTACCTGCCTCGATTCCCCACCCTTCCCCTGCAGATGTATTTGACCCCGCCCCCTGCACCAACAACCTTCCAGTATCCCGCAGGGCCTCTGCACACTGGCCTTCAGTACTTCCCTGCCGTCACCCTGGCTGCCCCAACGGCAAGGCCTCTTTTCCTTCCGCCGCAGGCCGGACTGGTAGCTCCTCCGCAGCAACGCCCGCCTCCACCAAATCTCGTCCAGGCCTCTGTAATTCCTAACCAGAACCAAAGACCTGTGCAGCATGTGCGTTGTCAGCAGGTGCCTGTGTCGCAGCCGATGCAGCCTGTCGGACCTCCGCCCCAAGTCCAGCAACAGCAGCAACCCCCTCAGCAGCAATGCGCCCTTAACCAGGGTCAGTACAGATACCTGATGGCTGCCTACAGAGTTGGGATGCTTGCTATGGAAACCCTGGCGCGCAGAGTGCACGACGATCGACCGCAGGCAAAGTATGCCAGAAACCCTCCCTACGGAGAGGACGTTAAGTGGCTACTCAGGGTTGCCAAAAAGCTTGGTAAGTTTAGTTTTTTTATACTCTGTAAGGCCTTAACTGAAATTTTATTACAGGAACCCAGTACCTTCACCAGTTCTGCGTCTGTGCAGTAAATAGTGTTGTGAGTCCCTTCATCTTGCACGACATAGCAGTGGAAGCTGCGATTTACCTTTCGAGGAACAATCCAACCCTCCTGATGCAACACCTGCGAACAGCCCTCACACCGCTTGTTCAAAAGTGCCAGCAGATGTACGGAGATTTGATTAAGAATCCAAGCAACTATTCTAATGTAAATTCGTTATAGGTATATTCAATGTCTGCACCAAAAACTGTACCACCTCACCTCCACCGACTACGAAGAGTTTGTGGGCATTGTTGTTTCGGCGCGGATGGCTTTCCAGATAACACCTGATGGCAGCACACAGTTCAAGGAGTGGCTGCAGTCCATTAGAAGGTAAAAATATTTATTTTGTCTTTATAAATATTTTAATTCCAAGGAATTATCTCAAATTTATGTTGCTTTATAATATAACTTTCGTAGATTCCATATTTGAATTTTTGTTTGTGTTTGCCTAGGTCCAAGTCATGTAAGAAAGATCTATGGGCGCAAATCAACCAGGCGCTGCAAAACAACAACAAATGACACCGGCCTGAGGTAGGCAGCAGCAGTAACCTCCACTGCAGCCGCCCCACCGCCCCCGGTGCCGCCCCAGGCTCCTCGCTCAACTGGGCGGAAATGGAGGATCAGCCGCCTCCAAGCTGACCGGTCGGCCCGCCTCCTCCTCCTCCAAGATCTCACTCTAACTAGACTCTTTACTTAGTTCCCCCACGCGAGAGGACTCTCATTTTAACAGTTTCCACTTCTTGGAACACAGATAGATGATTATCTTTTTAAGTTTCCACTTTTGCTGCCGCGACTCTGATTTTTAAATTTGAGCCTTTTCAAAGAGTTAGCTCCAAGAAGAATGGCTCAGTTAGCAGGTGGACATAGTCGGAGCCGCGGCTTCTTTGTGAAAATCTTCCGCATTGTAAAGATACATATAATGGAAGTGAGTTGAGAGACTGATTGTTGACATGTTTTAGCCTTTGATTTTTGGCACGCAGAATTTGTTCTCTTGGCACAAACTGATAATATTATCGTCACAGGTGCGATTCAGGTGCAAATTTATATTATTTGCCCCCACCACCCCTCCGACATTGGTACGATAGAAAAATGCAACCTTCACTTGAATCGCACCGTGAGGTAAAAAAAATTTGAAATCGCATAGACACGTACACACTCATGGGACTAATTGAATTCCGACCTTAATCTTTCGGATAAGAAGCTACTTTGCGTTTTTGATCGGTTGATTAAAACCAAATCTCGTCTGGCTACAAGACTATTTTAAGCAGATTTACAACTATTTTTACATGGAATATGAGATGAGAAAAGTAATCCCCTTTTCCGTATGCGCTTCTCTGCGCTGCTGGCGAGTTAACTGTTCTGGAATTTAAAATTGTCTCTCTCGACTCCCCGAGAGCTTGGTCTAGTCTGATTGAATGTAGATAGAAAATCTCCTGGCATATCACAAATAAACAAAGCAGCCCCTTTGGTTGAACCATAAATTTTTCAAGGGAATGGTGCCTTTTATAGAAACACTTGCGTTCGAAACTAAGCAAGTTGAATTTCTCCATGTAACAGGAACAAATTAAAATCACAGCATTACAAAGATTGAGGGGCTGCTTCAAAATGATGCATTTGCTTTGGCAGATTAAAGATTAAACAGGATGCTAAAAATTATACTTGGGGAGTAGAGTCAAAAATCTTAAACCCACCCCAACAGTTTTAGTGAATACTATGAAAAATCATTGCTATATTAAATTAATATTACGAATATTATTATACTAACTAGATGCAGGATGAAAATTGCATGTGTCTTTTTTAACATGGCATAAAATTAAAGGAGAACAAATGTGTGGCGTATAAATATATTTCTATAAAATACTAAATTATATTTCAGATATACAGTTTAGGTGGCTAGAATGATAAGATTTTTGAAGATTATCTACACTTAAAGTATGCTAAGTGAAGATAAATACTATTACATTAGTAGTTGTGTAGTGCATTAGTGGAAGTTTTAAAATAGAAAAACTTAAAGAGGCGCGTTGAGTGGCTCGGTTTTAATTCAGCACACAATCTCATTTTTGGAATGGCCAAAACCAAAAGTTGAAAACAATGTCCGTTTACGAAGTATATAAAAATTTTGTTTATTTGTCTGCTAGTCCCATACACACATACATATTTTAGGCTTTGCTCACACCCACCAGGCACATTTGAACCCAAAAATTGGAAAAAAAACGAGATTACATTTGTGAAATACTTTTAAGTTGTTCATCAAACAAGATTTTTCAGTGCCAAAGGTTTGCCTGCGCTCACTTCTAAGAAAAGCAAGTGCTCAAGTATTCTCAGAACTTGTCCATACTTGTACATGAGGATGTGAATGTCCGTTGGATTTGATGTCCATCCTGATTGTTTCTTGGTCGTTCCATATCTTTTCGTGTCGCAAGATGCCAAACTCGATTAAAATAGAGGACCGGTCGCTATTATTATTTTTTTATTGCGACCTGCCCTCGGTGTTATTCAGGGCTAATTTTAATAAATTTAAGTATATGTGCATAATTGGATTTGTTCAGTTTTTAGCTTGCTAGGCGGTGAGAAAGAAAGCCTATTGGAAAATATCCAGTTGGATTTCAATCAGCATTGTTACATTATTTACGATTTTGTTGTTTTGTCATTGAAATCGGAAAGAAATAACTAATTCATCATTTGAGAACATTTTTGTGCAAAGTGCTCAAACTTGGTTTATTTTGTAATTTTAAGAAAAGAGGAGACACTTCTGATGACACTGAGAAAAAAGGAAACCCATCGATACCCATTAATACTGCAAGAGTGTGGGTGCGATTCAATTTATTTTTAGCTGTTTTATTTTCCAGTCGTTGCCAAATTTACTATTGTACGTTCTAAGCTTTGCTGCTGCAGAATGTCTTGAGAATTTTCAAACTAGGTTTTGATTATTTGCATTATATACAGATAGCATTCTCTTCCCTTCTCTCTCATCAGTTTGTCTTTTATCTCTCTTGAATGAACTGATTGATCGATCATCAAATAAAAATATTTCAAAACTAAAAAAACCTGTTTATTTTTATTGAATTTCACAAGACCCTATATTAAATTTTATTATTTTTCAAATTTTGAAAGCATAAATAATAATCTTCATTTTCATTGTAAAGAATTTTTGCATACAAAACTTTTATAGCCCCATGATACTAACGATTTTCCCAGAAGGTGCGCGTGAGAGGACTCAAAATGCTTGTAAAAGTTAGTATTGAAAGGTATGAAAAAAGAAGCTCTCTCAAAATTTAACAAGCAGTTCACTTTTCCCTGTCATGAATTGAAAGTTGATCAATTAGAAGAAAAGTACAAAGTATTTTTGCAAAGTATTATTTTACTTCACAACCAAACAGAAACTCGAGTTTCACGGGTTACGCAGGTTGCATACCTCAAGGCAATTTTGTTCCTCTGTCAAGATTTCTATGCCGAAGAGATGCTTATTTCATTTCAACTGTTCCGTTAAAATGAGTAATTTTACATATATGTGAAGTTTTGAGGAAAAATAAATGAACAACTTGTTTTTAGAATGCTTCAAAAAATGTTACTTTCCAAATACAGATATTTTTTTCATAAACTTCCATTTATTTTTAGAAAGATAAAATCTAAACCACTAATTGAAACATTATTTTTTGCAGTTTTAATATGCATAGAACAAAAATAATAATTTTGAGTAAATAAAATACCTTTCTGCCGGCGTTGACATTTTTGTTAAAAATTCGCCACGTTTTTCAATAAAAATATACGCTCCTACATTTCCGACGAAAGCCTTGAATTCCTTGCATTTTCCTTCTTTGGTCTTTCTGTTTATTCTGCCACCAGTCTGCTCCAATTTCTCAACGATAGCACCACGAACTCCCCAAATTTCTTTAATTTAATTTTTTTAATTTTAAATTTGGTAAAAATGTGCGAAAGCGTGGTGGGTGAGCTGCACGCGGCCGCCTTCCTAGGCGACGGTCTCCGCGTGGACCAAATTCTCGCCGGCCACTTGCACCTGCTGGAAGCAACCAACGAGTGGGGCTGGACGCCGCTGATGCAGGCGGCCAAAGGAGGCCACCTCGGACTTGTGGCCACTCTTGTCAGCCACGGCGCCGACGTCAACGCCGTCAACAAATTAGGTCAGTTACAAAAAAAATTTAATTTCTGATCTTTTTTAATTAATATAGTTAGGGGAGTGATTCTTCTTGGGTTATAATATATTATGTGTTTATTTATTTATATTCTACTCGGTTAAATTTATAAAAATATTGTTAGTATACACATGTAATTAAATCAAAATAAAAACCTGCAATAAAAAAGATTTTTAACAAAAGCGGGATCGAGATTCAAGTTTTTTTTCTAGGAAGATGCACACATTTCTGGCACTTGTACCAAAATTAAATGATTGTTAAAGAAATCAATACAAAATTTAAATAAAATGAAACGAACCAAAATAAAATTACTTTTCTGTTACCAATCTACGCACAACACTGCTTGCATTTATTTTTGAAAAAAAGGATACTTATTACCAAAAAATTACATTTATTATTATTGGGTTTCGAATAGGAATGGATGTTTTGAGTTTGGCCAGTGCTAGTGGGCATCGGCGGATCGTCCTGCTTCTTATGGAGCACGGGGCCAAAAGCGGAACGGCCGCTATTTCGGCCGCAGTGCACGGACATTCAGAAATTTTCTCACAAGTTTCGGAAGTATTAGAAGACCAGGTTTTGAAAATTTCCAGTAAAAAATCAATTATTTTTCATATTAATTTTTCTAATGCATTGAAATCGTCAGATTCAACAATTTTGCATTTGGCCGTGGCCGTGGGAGCTGCGGATATTGTCCACGAGTCGGTCCGTCGTGGTGCCAACCCAAATTCACGCGACGAAGCTGGAATGACCGCCCTCGACTTGGCCGAACAAGATGCAGACTCTGCGAGTAAGAGGGAAATTCTCACAATTCTCCGCAAAGTTTCAGGTATTAAAAGAGATAATTTTTCAAAATAGCGTGTTTTAAAGAAAAGTGTTTTCAATGATTCATTTAATGCATCAGTTCAATATTTTTATGACTTCTTGGACATTTGTTGTTTTTCGCCATTAATGTAATTTGCGTATAAAGTTTTTTATAATAGGACTAACTTTGGAGTTTCTAACTTTTGAGGATTTTTAATTACAGCTAGATGCTTTCAATGGCGTCATGAGATTTGTTCTTAGTTGGATCTCTACAAACGTTATCACTGTTGTAAAATTTTGAACTATCCAATTCATGAGCCCAATTTAAATATATTTTTGGACGTCTATGAATTGTAGAGTGGGTTAACTTTTATTTAATATGTATAAATTTATATTTATTTGATAATTTTACTTGAATTCTGCCTTGCTGATCTTCAAGAGCAGATTTATAACAACCTGTTTATCTTATTTAGTGGAATCTTGAAAAATAATAACAATTTAATTTCAGACACTAATAAAAATAAAATAAAAGAAGTCCGGAAGATAAGTTTTTGGGAGATAACGGTTTTCTCCGAAAGACAAAAATGTAATTTGTTGTAGACTGCACGTTGTCGGGCGAGTGGTCAGAGGGAGTGGTCGAGAGCAGCAGGGTCGGCGACCTGGGCCGTTTGTTGGTGCTGCTGGCCGAAATGAGCACCAAGTGCATGATGCGCCAAGACCTGCACCACACGCACGATTTCTCCAAAGCACTGCTCGCCGCCGCCGAAAACGGACATGCACTTGTAACAAAATACAATTACAAAAATTGGAAATATAATATATTATGGGGTGCGAAAAACTTAATGTGACTCATTTTGTCAGCGTAAAACCGCATTACAATCAAATAAGTTCCAGCTAAAAAATTATATAAAAATCTAAAATCCAAATTTTCTTAATACTAGTTTTTGTTGCAATTTCATTCAATAAAACTTCCATTAAATAGATTGTCAACTTATCTTGCTGGAGAGAGCGAAATTTAAAATAATTTTTCGTGGCTGGAACATCAATATTTCATTACCGACCAAAAAATTGGAAAGTTAATTTCTTCAAGATTATACTGTGAATTGTAAGACTGAACTCTGACTTTGTTGGCTAAAGGAAATTTTTCACCTTTTAACTAATTTGGAATCGAAGTGATGAGTTTTTTTAATTCTAAGTGTCAAAATATAAATACAAGAACCAAGAGTTATTTTTTTAAGTTTAAAAAATAAAACAAAAATATTTCCACGTGCCTTCCATGAAATTTCTACCAACACAATTAAATAATAAATACTTTCTATGAATTTTGAAATTACAGATAATCGACATTCTGCTCAAACAAAAAGTGAATCTGAATGTTTTTGGCACAAGTGGAATGACACCGTTGATGTTGGCCGCGTCCAGAGGGTATTTTTTAAAATTATTTTCCCAAGCATAATTTTGGAACTTTAAATTTTAATAATATAGACACGTGGAGGCAACGGAACGGCTGTTGGGTGCCGGTGCGGACTGCAAGGCGAAAAGCTCGGTCACAGGCCACACCGCCTTCGAACTGGCCTCCCTGTCCGACGAGACGCCGCCCGAACTGACGCGAATCTTGGCCAAGCACACCATTCAAAACGCGGAGGCCGCGACCACCCCTCGCACGCAACGCCGACTCCTAAAGTGGCCCCTGTCGCCGCAACCCTTCAAACGAAACTTGCTCGTTCCAAAATCGGTAAATATTTCGGAAAAAATTATGGCGAAACGTTTTTTAGGATTAAAAATATCTATTAATTAAACTTATTTTGAGATTGAATTTTTAAAGGTAAATTTTCGTACATAATTTTAGAAAATTTAAAAAAAAATATTAATTTTTGTAATTATGCTTCGTTAAATCCGCGTGTTGTAGAATATGAAAGGATGGTGTTAAATTTGTTTATTTTGAACTTATTTTAAATGAAATAATTTCACTAGCAGTTCACTAGGAACTAAAATAAAGAACAATCACTCCCATTTTTTAAACTACTCTTCTCTTTTTAAATTAATATTATTTAATAATAATTTCATTTGATGTAAATTAACAAAAATTCATTTCAAAATGTGCAGCCTCACAGACCATCCTCTCTTCCTGGCTCACCAACGTACCAAAGGTCACTCTCCGAGCCTGTTGGTAAGCGTTTTTAGATTTTGAATTCCTTGCATTTTATTTTTGTATGGCCTCCGCAGAGCAGAATAGAAACTCGCCGCTCAGGATCAAACTGTTGTCGTGCATATCCAACAAGTAAGTCACGCGGCCCAAAAGATAAAAACTTATGCGAATCGAAACAGAAGAAGAAGAAACGCACAATGCATGCCCAAGTGACTTCGCCTTGGCCCTACTTTTCGCCGCGTGAACTATATTTCCTAGAATTTCGGGTCAGTTTCTACTAGAGAAACCACATCACTTTTGTTTATCTCCGGAAACGTGATATATTATAAATTAGTAGAAAATTGTATCTATTATCTCCATTGTGGTTTCCATCAAAAGCAGCAGCAGATGTGAAATTAATAAAAATAAATTTTCTTCTTCTTCAGCAATAAAATCGAATTAGTATATAAATTGAAATTTTTTTTTCATTGAATCCTGAAAAGAAAATTAGTTGCTACAAAGAGACTGAAAGAGATTTGAATGAATGAAATTCTTCAAAATGATGAGAAATAAATTATTAATAATAATTTCTAATTAACTTGATTTCGTATTTTTTTGTGATTTTATTTTTATTTGTTTTTTCCATGTTATATCGGTTAAGTGGATTTACTAATTATTATTATTATTTAATTATTTACATGGTTTTTAAACAAACAAAACAAACTGATTGTGTTATGTTCTGATATCATTATTATACAATTTTATTCTGTGATGAATAGGATATATTTTTTGTGGTTTTTAAGGTACTTAATTAATACATCAGTTTCGTCACCTTAAATTATTTGACTATTTTTAGAGTAATTATTTTCAATATTTCATTTAGAGAATGATATGAAGTCATGAAAATGTTCAAAATCAAAGTATTTATCAAAGGCAAAACAATTCCAAAATCTCATTTAAATTTTGTACATTATCTCTTGTTAAATTAAATAAATGGTCTCTTTTCAGGTGGTTTTCTCCACAAATAGTCCTGGTCCACTACGTCTGTTTTATTCAAAATAAAAAAGTTTATGTATTGATTTTCTTTAAATAGAAAGCAAAACTAAACAGAAACAAATAATGCATTATAAATAAAGTGAAAAATTGAGTGATAAAAGGATTTCCGTTCCATTATCCACTTTTTGGTCATGTTTCTACAAATTGTGATTTACTTTTTACCGCTGCTGCTGCAGTGTGCATGTGAGTCGCATTCCGAAGCAGCACTTACGTTGCGTGACTCGCTTGTAATGGCTGTGTGGTTTCGCTTGTTCTGTTATATGTATTTGTTCTTCTCCTTTGGTTCCAACTGCGTATAGAATTATCTTGATTTGAGAAACAACAACGTTCTCATTACGCGCTGCCAAAGTGCTGAATTTGAGATAAATATAAAACGCTAAACGCATGCTTGTTCAGCACACATTTAGCAAATTTACGACGTATAGCTTTTTTGTTTAATTTATAATAGTATTCAAATAATTTCATATCACAAACTAAGAGAGTTATGGAAATAAACAACAAATCAAACGCACTTTAATTGTGTTAAAATACTGTCACTAAAAAATGCGTGCAATAAAATTTTCATTCCAGCTTTTGAGGCATTATAGGAATAAGAAGTGAAGAAAAAGTAAAAGAAATTTGAAAATTTAACTTGAAAAATTAATACCCTATATTTTTATTGTTGAATTATATATTGTGTCCTTAATGATAACTAAATCAAATATTAAATTAAAATGGTGCAATATTTTTGGAAAATTTCAAGTAAGATGACTATCAAAATCAATTGTTTGTGCGTTTATTTATTTTATTATCAGAAATTCAATTAATTATTTATATTCATGCTAGTAGTAGACCTAACAGTTGCGGTTATTTGGCCAAACTTCCTCTCTTTTTCTATGCGAACTTGATCGTGTCTCATTTAGGTTGAAGCGAAATGCGAAAATGATAGAAAAAAGAAAAAGCGGTTCGTCGAAAAATAATTCCGCTCGAGCAATGCGTGTCGTATACGCAGTCACCTTACTGACCCAATTAAATCGGCCCGTTTCCTCCAAAGGCGCGAGATTATCAGCCCAAACGCGGCACGCAATCGGTAATGCGCTGCTTACTTGCAATTAATTCGGCCTGCGTGCGTTTTCGCGATGTGGATCTTCACAGCCGAGGGCGTCGAGCGGCGCCTTAAAAGGCCCGGGGGCTCTTCCGAGGTGTCATTTTGAAAGATGCAAGTGCAGTGTTTGTTGCTTGTGCTGCTCGCAGCCTCGGGGCTCGCCTCGCCCACACCCTCAGCCACCGACCCCAAAAGCAGGACCGTAGGTCTCAGGAACCTCTTCATCGGATGCCTAAACTCGGAATCAGAGGTTTGATTTTAATTTGTTTGCCGTCATTTCATTATTTAATTATTTAAACTTGGCGTTGGTATAACATTGATTGTGATGCACAGAGTTGAAATTTTTTAAAGTATACACTGGCAAACAAAGGTTAGCTTTCAATCCAAAAGTTATTGTAAATTTTCTGAAAACACCAAAAATGTAGACTTCTATATTCTTCAATATGCCATCCTTTATTCTACCTGTGTAAAAATACAGTGTTAAAATTTAAATATACCTTTTCCCTGATAACACTTGATTTTTGGTGAGGAGTAGAAAAAAAGATTAAGTTGATCTACTTTATTGCTCTTTAAGAATATTTTTATCCAACCCTGTATTAAAAACTAGCCTGAGGACATATTTTTTCTTTCCAAAAAAATTTTTGATGTTAAAAGTATAAACGTAGATTTTACTTATTAATTTACACTTCTGGATGCCTCCTTGTCCTTTAAAAAAGTGATGTGGGAAATTATTTTTAAAATTCAAATATTTTTAATTTTTTTTTTCACGATTCTTAGATCATTTATTTTTTCAAGCTCAGGAAACAATGATAAATTTACTCGTTTTTCGGTAGAGTGAAAATGGAACCGGGGATTTCATGAGCTGCCTCAACAGACGCCTCCGCGATTCCGGGGGCGAACTCCGACTTTTGCCCGGAGTCACTTTGTCCTCAGAAAACATCGACATGAGTGGAAACGGAAAGAGAGCCATGTCCGGAAGTGCCCTCAAAGTTGCCCTGCCGTGGCCAGAGAGCAGTGCCAGGTATGACCTTCATTATTCAACATTAATTTTTTTAATCTTTTTCTGTTCCTTGGGTCAAATGCTAAATTGGGAAAAAAGTACTGAATCAAGCAGTTTTATCAGTTTTAATTACATAATCTATCATTTGAATCTAGCTTTATTTATATTATAGTTGGATTCATTTATAATTATATAAAAAACATTATTTTAATGGAAATAACTTAATAACGTAATAAATAATGTCATTATTTACTTTACGATTTGAACGCTCACTTTTGCAAGTTCTTGAGTTTTTAAGTTTCCTGAAAACAAATTATGGCTGCCGCTCAGAAAAATTTTAGAATAAAAATTAATAACTCCGATTCATTTTTGTCTTAATATTTTGATTATTACACATGATATAATCAGAATCTTAAGTGGTAAATTTATTTTATTTTCATAAAATTTTGCAAATTTGAATTGATGTAAAATTTAATTTTATTTAAGATTCTTTGGCGGCTGGTCGAACCCCTCGTTGGTTCTGTCAGGGGGTGAGTCGGAATTGGACATTGGGGTGGAAGTGGATAAGGACGAGCCCGCACAGCCCGGCGATGAGGAAACAGGCAGAGGTGAGTTTAAAATCTCTGAATTGACGCTTAGTTAGATTAGTTAAGAGGCACTTCTGCTTGAACAACGCTATTCATACTTCTAATGCTCAGTTTTCCTCAAAGCCAAGAAACTGAAGAAGCTGCTGATCCCTCTGATGATCGGCCTCAAGCTCAAATCCGCCCTCTTCTCCATGCTCAGCTACGGCGCCGTCATCGCCATGGCCGCCAAGGCTCTGCTCCTCTCCATTGTTGCAGTGGCAATCGCTGGTAAAATATTATTTAAAAAAATCTAATTTGCAAATTAAAAAATAAATTAAAAAGACAATTTCAAATATTTTGCACGAAATGAAATCTCTAGCAAAAGTAAATGATTTTAATGTACTTTATTTATTTATTAAGAAATGAAATTTTTGCGAATAGGAATCGGGGCGATGAGGCGAATGTACAAGGACTACTCTGAAGCGACCGTCCACTCATACAGTTCGTACGAGCCTTCATACCCGTCTTCGTCGTACCACCACCGCAGCTATGGCTCTTCACAGCCGCTGGGCGCCGCGAGCAACCCGTTGGGCAACTTGGCCGCCGCGGCCACCGAGGTGCAGGCCCAGGCCCAACAGCAGCCCAACTACTCCGCCCACGACATGGCCTACTACCAGCAGCCCCAGCAACCCCAGCAGCGTTACGGAAACTGATTCGAGCGCTCAACCCCTTCTAAATTATTACCTCTAATTTATTTATTTATTTAACTTATTGAAATTTCTCTGTGCGACTTTTCCTGTTTTACTCTGACGACGACTGACTGCTCAATTTCTTGACTGACACTACTTGACAAACTTTTTCCTTACAATTTCTTGAAAGGGTAATAAACTCAACAATAATACCAACCTGATTTCTCGTTAATTGATTTTTTTGATCAAAATCTCTTTTCCTCGGACAGCGCAGTTGGAACGTATTTCACAAACAGATAGGAAAAAGGACACTTTAAGCTAGGCAGTAAATTATCTGTTGTTTGATACAAATTTAATTGCATTTTTCAATCCAATTGTTAAAACCTTACGATATTTTTGCTCAAAATTTCCATTTACACAGACAAATGGCCTATTTTAATACATCCTTTCGATAGAAGTATAACAAAAATAATGCTTACTTGCTTTCAATTTTATTTTAATTGTAGAAAAGACGGAAAAATTAAAGTGGCAGAGTATTTTTTAAGAACAAAATATTTTCATCCTTTAATTTCTTTCAAAACTTCTATTTATCATTTGTTATTATTCCAGCCACTTCTGATTGTCGTCATTGCAAACTCTTACGAACAAAAATTAATAAAGTTGCGAATCATTGCATCTAAAAACTATTTGTGTGTCATGATGCAAATTGGCACTCTTGAATGTCTTTTGAATGGAAGAGAGGCCAAAGGTTATAATTGCTGTTCATCCACAGTTCTCGTAGGTTAGAAGAAGAATTTTCATCAAGCAGAGAAAGAGAGATAACAGAACCAATTTTATTACGTTTTCATCACAGCGCCACGAGAGAGGAGAGATAAATTTCTAATTCTTTACTCGACAGAGCTTTTGACTACGTGCAGCACTAGATGATTACTGATATAAAAATCTCCATTTAAGAAATTCCTCTTTCATATATTTGAAACAGTTACAAGTAATTGGAACGAAACTCATTGATTTTTTCAATAATAAATAATTGCTTTATTTCGAAAATAAATAAATTAACAACAATAAATTAAATTAGCGAGAAAAGAAAATTCTCACTGCCAACAACAATTGTATAGGAAGTGTATAAAAAGTGCAGTCGTGGGAAGATTCAAGTTAAAGAAAAAAAAGTAAGTACCCGTACAGATACTGCAAGCAAGATTGAAAGAAATTTGGACTAATTGCTTGCTGATGAAAAGAGGCGAAGGAACATTTTTTGCTCTCAACTGGCACGAAAGAAAGAGAAATTTGAGCGAGAAATGAATTTTTGGTAAGATTTAGGGCCGGTGCGCTTTGTAGGCGAGGTTGTGGGAGTCGTAGCTGTTGCGGTCCCAGCCGCCTCCGTGGCCGCCCCCGGAGCTCCAGCCGCTGCTGCCGTGGCTGTCGTCGCCGGTCATCAGTTTCTTGAAGATGACGGCGAGCGCGAGGAAGAGCGCGATCTTGGAAACGATGAGCGCCTTTTTCGCCAGGAAGAACAGACCCTTAAGCTTGAGCAGCATCAGCAGAGCGAACTTCATCATGCCGCCCATCATCATCATCATACCCATCATCTTCTTCATCTTGCCACGACCTTTAAATTGAAACACGAAAAATTATATTTTTTTCTAAATCTAAATCGTTTTGGATGATTTGTTTGTAATGAGATTTTGCTACTAGAAGTTAGGAAAAGGTTTTTGCAATTTAGAATTTCATATATGCAAATGCAAACATATTAAAGTAATTTGTATGCAAAAATTTTAAAAATCAAGTTCATTTTATTTGAAGGTGAGATTTTCGATTTTTTAAATAATATTATTTGATGTCCCAATTTAAAAGAATGAACTTGTGGAACATATAAAGCTGATATAAAGTAGGCTGTTGATATTTGAGATCGCAGGTTGATATCTTTAAAGGTCCCTCGGTACTGACTTTTTGAATAATTATTTTGAACAAATTTTTGGAAGTATTTAAAGTTTCCTAAAAAAATATGGAATTTTTCAAAACCGCTTATTGTTATTACACAATCAATTTGCTAAAAACAAACTGTCTTACACAGTTTTTGATTTCAAATTTAGCACTCCCTTTAAGAAAATTTTTATAGCAATTAAATTTTCATATTTTTTTGCTATACGATTACGATTATTAATTTTTGTACCTTCTGCCAATGATGTCTGGACTTCCTCCTCGGAAACCTTGGGCAGGTCGATCTGGACGGAGCGGCCGCTGACGAACTTGGCCACCCTTTGGACCAGCATGGTGGTCAGGGTGTTGTCGTTGGTCGCGTCAAGCTCGGCATCACTGAGGGCGCGGGACTGCCTTTCGTCGGCGGCGCCTGGTACCCTGACGAGGGTCAGGTGGTCGGCGAGTGGGACTGCATCCATGCGGGACATCCTGTCCATGAAGGCGACGGCCCTGGCCTTGAGGCAGGGGGCGAGGCCCGCCTCTTTGGTGGCGCACTCGGAGTACACCTTGTGCAGCACCCTGAGGTTGGGTGACTGCTCGAGCAGGTCATCCAAAGGTGAGGCCGTGGCTGCTGCGGCCGCCGCCAGGGCCAGGACGGAGCACACCAGGAGGATCTTGTTCATGGCGGAGGATGCAAGAGAGACTGTGGTGCTCAACGACGACCCCGGCTCTTTTTATACCGGTGACCTGGAGGAGGGAGACTGACCCACCCGCTCTTGACCTTCCTAGCTAGCGCGTCTAGAGAGAGAAATGGAACCTTCTTCCGGCTGCATTCCTCCGTCGCAGCCGCCGCCGGGTGGGCGAACACAAAAAGAAGATTTTTTCCTTTTTCACATGTCATTCTCTCGCTCATTGTATTAGGCAAATTAAGCCCAGCGCCTTTGTGCAGGCGTTAGCCTACTTACGGGGCCAAACGCTCGTTACGCGCGCAATGCAATTCAGCAGAGATGCAGCAGCAGCGGCTTACTTGCACAATAAAGCACACACTTTCCTCTTTTACATACGATTCGCCACACATTGAAAACGTAAAATTCATTCAAGATTGAGGAACACATTGGAGACAAAATTGCAAAAAATGAAAGTAGCGTGAGTGATCGAAAAATTTTAAATTGGTAATTTATTTAAAAAAAGGAGAAATAATAAGTAATAAGCCTCAAAATTTCAGCCGAAACATTTTTATAGAATCTTCAGCAAATGTATTATTTATTTTTTAAATCTTCAAAGTGTATATTTGAATCAATGAAAAAAGTGTGCGGATATTGTAAAATATTCCAAATTGTGTGGTCTGGATTTTTTTTTAATTTTTTTTTCGTCTTTTAATATTATTTGAACGTTTTAAACTGAACACTCACTTACAGGGGTAAGAATATTATATATGCAAACAAATTTTTTTCCTCCAAAATATGGCATGATATTTAACAGAAAATGTAAAAGGAATGCATATGCTGCTGGAAAATTAAAAAAAAAACGAGATCAAATGCGATGTCATTGTCTAGTTAAACTGGTTAAATAATTGGCAAAAATAACACAAGAACGCCGAACGCCAAACATGTTTCAGCATTTTTATCACCCCCTTTTTCCAAAAAATTTGTGCATTCTCTCCCTTGAAATCAGCGAATTTCATTGGAAACAATGGGAAACGCTTACCAAAAATGCATAACCCTGTGACCTCTTTATTAATTAAAAGGACTTGCATACAGAAAATAAATAAAAAATGTTTTCAAAATCTCAAAAATTAATTTTCTGATTTCTTCTGTTCCGATGAAGAAAATACAATATTATTTTATTTTGGGTACATAGTTACTTTGCTTAAAAAATAAATAAAATATAATTATTACTACATTATGATGTTAAACTTGAATACAATTAATTTTTTTAAATGTGAATCAATTTGACCTGCGTGGCCTCGTCTCTGCAGATTGTGCGCGGCCTGTTTTGCTGCAACAATGAGGGCAACAATGCACTTCACGTCTACGTACGTTTTGAATTTCATTCTCGTCGATCGTGCGGCGCAGCAGGTGAAATTGGAATGAAATCTCACGAGATGCAAAATGAGAATCGTGAAGAGGAGCAGCAGAGGTGCTGCACTTTGTCTCTCTCGACCCTGTTCCCAGCGAGCACACCAACCACAATGCAAACAAATCCAAATTAACCGAAAGTGTCGGGTGGCAAATATAATAATGCGACTTTTATTCGCGCCAGTCATTCTGACAAATAAATTGCTAATTATTCGCAGCTTCCTCGCAATTAAGGTCAATTACTTTGTCTGTTTTTCATCTCTTATACGTATTTTTGATGATCACAACTTTTCATTTATTTTTTAATAATGCTCTAAAAATCTGCCACTGAAGTGAAAACGCGTTTTAGGGGTAGAAAAATATATAAAATGGATGAAGGCTATATTTTTATTCACAACTACAACTTCATAGGGAAGGGTCTATTGAACGAAAAATTCAAGATAAAATTTAAGTGTCACTTGCAGCTGTCAACACAGAAACAATTTTGAAATTTATGTTATAATTTATTTCTCATCCAACTCGATGCTATTTAATTAAATATTTCTTATTAAATATATCACATTTCCTATAAATTAAACTAATTTTTCCCAGGTACTTAATTTTTTTACAATATTTTCTTATCGGACCACTTTTGCTTTCAACGCGGACAAAATAACTAGTAGCTTAGATAAAATAATGATTACCTCTTAAACAAGTGGTTGCGGCCGGCGCAAATTTTCTCCTCTTTGTTCACGCTCGACTCGCCCGCCGTCTTACCTTTAATGACCACCTTCCTGCTTAAAAAAATGCAACAGAACTTCTTTGTGAAGGAAATTTGGCTTCCGTTTTATCTCAAATCTGTCAATTTTCGTTCATTCCTTTCATTCAATTTTTGATAATTTCAAACATTTTTCTTTCCATTAATTTTTATTTGAAATTTTGCGAGAGTGGCCGAAGTGAGTTGCAACTTCCCATATAGGCAGCCTACTTTGTAGCGATCTTATCGCGTAACACAAATCTGACGACGTGCTCTTCAACTTGATTTGCATAAAGGCACGTTTTATTTGCACTGCATAGTGTTATATGAATAAGAAAGACTTCTTGTGGTACCGCCACGTCTGCGTGCGTGGGAGTTTCCTTTTCTTTATCATATCTTCACTGTCAACATGACAAGAAAATTGCTGCACGAAGAAAGACAACCACAACAATTTTATAGACTAGATAAAAAGTTTTTAGTGTTTAACGAATTTTAAAAGAAAATAAAAAAGCAAGAAAATGCATCAAAATTGAATTTCAACAGAAATAACTAGACACTTTTTCATAAAAAGAGAATCTTTGTGAGTCTGGTGGATTTTTTATCTTTAGTTTCCTTTATTATTATTTTATAAAAATTGTAAGAATCTATTGGATATTAAATTCATCAATCATAATAAGTAAAAGAAAGAAAGTCAGCATTCGCGAAGTCATCATTTTACGAAAGTAACCTCCTGTGATTCATCAATTGATTTTAAAACGCAAATTTAAACAAAATTTGTATAAAAATATGAAATAATTCATAGCGTGCAACTGCGAAACTATTAATTTTCTACACACAAAATATTTTTTCCCGCAATATTTTCATCAATTTTTTTTTTTTAACTTAGAAGTTTCTAGTTTTGAAAATTTGTAATTTTTTTAAATAACAGTGATTGTGAGCAGCGCATTATTAATCTGACGATTCCTAATTGAAAACCGTTTTTAATTTCTTTCTCTCATAATTATGTTTGTGTCGTCGCGTCGATTTTTCCATTTCCGTGCGTGTGCACTGGGTCAAAACCTGATGCTTGATTAGAGGCGGCTCCGTTAACTCACAGGCCAATTCCGATTCTCAAGAGCGCGTCGTCAACGTACTGTACAATATAAAACACATCAAGAGAGAAAAATACAATATGTACGTGTTAAAAAAAAAAAATTAAAAAAAAATGAAAACGCCTAAAACCGTCAACTCCTGCACTTGACCGAAAATTTTCTGTTCTCTTGCAATGGCTAGAGTCTATTTTTCTTTTTAATTCTAACCACAATTGCAGCAAAAAAGAAGATATAAAAAAAGTAGAACTGCGTTTTTTTTTGCTCTCTTTATATTTTTCAGATTTTTGTTAACATTTTCCATTCCTCTCTGCGACTGGCACTGAACTTCAGACGTTATCAATAATTTTCTATTTCAGTTTCGCTTTATCAGAAAGAGGTCACTGATTATGGACACTGTAATTATTGGGGAAAAAATTTTTCTGCTTTTCTAGAAAAACTGTTTTTTCCTTTGAATTTCTAAGCACGCGGACGCGAGTTTCCTTGAAATTGTGCGCCCGTATTAAATAGCAAGTAGTCCACACGTACGATAATGAGGTCGAATGATGAGAATATAAATTTATCGCAAGTGAGCACCGAGAGTTTTATTGCACGCGCGTGATATACGACCGCGGCAATTGAGGTAATCAAGAGAGAAAAAGAAGAGGAGAGAAGACAATAATCAACAACGGCGCTTCTTCAATGCTTTCCATCTCGCTCCTTAATGAACAAACATACCTGCAGAGTCGCGATTCATAACAAATTTTTTCCAACTTTTTATTATTAAATAATTCAAACAAAACGAAGACCTATTTAAATAATTAAAATGTAAAAAAAAAATAGAAACCATTGATATATGTCAACCATAAATCATAATTTATTATTTCATATAGTGAATATTTTTAAACCCTTTTTGTAATATTATGAGTAAAATAACTTATATCTTGTTTTATAATTATTTAAATTTAAAATTTTGGCTTCATTCTTTAAAAAATAACGAACTACAAAAATTTATAATTTACTCCAGTTATTTCTTTATCCACAGTAGACTACAGAATATAGCAACGATTTATTTGCTGCAATTCCGCTCTCCTCCAGACGTACGAGACGTACCATATGTGGTACAGCACACATAGTGCACCTTGTGTGTAGTGAATGAGAAACATCGACAATGGCAGCGTGAGTGTCGTTAGATCTGGGTGAATGAAGTAGTTTCAACGAAGATAAAGTGACGGATGTACAACAAGTGCGACCCACTGGCCTGCAATTTCCGTTCATAATCTAATTAATATTCTCACCATTTATGTCGTTTATGCATTCAAACTATACTAATTTCTAATTTCTTTACAATTCTTCACGAAAATCTTCCTCTACGTCAGGTTGTTTCCAGACCTGCAACTATGCATTTACATTAATTATTTAGATAAAATATGAGACTCTGTCACTGACCTGGCCCCTTATTATACGAAATTAATTCTTTAGTGCCTTAACAGAAAAAAATAAATAGTCATAAATGTTCCATACAAATTTCCTTTACTTTGAAATATGAATTTTCATCAATTGCTGATTTTATTTCAACAGATTGAAGCAAAAAAGCATACAAATTTTATTTAAAAATAATTCTCCAATAATTATTGAATGAAATAGTTTGGAATGTCTTAAATTATGTTATACGATTTATAGACAACTATTTTTTAAGGCAGATGAAGTGGGTCGGCTATAAGGTGCAGTTACCTTAAAATTCACACATTTCAGGTGCACGGATATGGTTCACACTATTAAATTGCCTAGTGAGGCAAGACGTGAAGCAAATCGGG